AAAATGATTTCAAATTCCTAGAAACAAAATACACTAAATGTATCTTTTCAAAAAAAAAATTTTAGCGGAAAGGTAGGGGGTGTGAACCTTATACTGGAACACCCTGTACATTGTAAAACGCCACATAACACTTTGGAATCAAATTAGAATTTCAGAAACATTCTATAACGGGCCAGAACATTTCCAAACTTTTAGGGAATAGGTTTATTGAATAGGTATCAAAAAGGCTTTTGTCAAAAATATATAGGAAACCTCTGTACATGAGTACAAGGTCAGGGTAAATGTCACCCCCTCCTAAATCTTTCATTTGACGTTTTTGACAAAAGTGTCAAATACAAAAGTTTTGAGAAATTGTCAAAAGTTCTTAACAGTACTCTGTCCAACAAACTTATGGAGTGAACATGGCGGAGCTGGTCGGCTTGGTCTACACTGCACAAATACCTGCAAATTTCATAATGTTGAAATACCAATGGCGTTGGTACCTATATTATGACCTACTATCATAATTTAATATCCAAAATCATTTATAATTATTATAGAATTTTTTCGCAGTCTACACAAACACTTAGATAGATGAAAAAGGTACACTCTGGTGAAATAGTCAAATAAAAAAAAAACAATACAATTAAGTATTTTGGAAAACAAAATTTCAAAATCTAAACTAAGCGTACGCCACTCAACTGAAATTATATTCTGATTTATCTCATTTATCTCAAAATATGTACCCGCCCTTTACTTTACAGTGTAAATCGGGCTGGAAATTGACCAATAGTAACGAACCTCTATATAGAAGGTTAGGTAATTTGATTACTCCGTAGATTCGTTGGACAGATTATAGGTGAGTTTCAAGCATACAGGATGCGTCAAAAAAGTGTGGCAGTGCGAAGTTAAATATATGTATTTTTTTTAATGAAACCATCTTACATTTATCTACATTTATCATTCAACGATAAATGTCTATCTTCAATACTTTTAGGGAAAAACATTAAATCGCTTTTCAAGGTCTCATGTTGGAGAAAGAAAAATTATACCAATTAAGCTCTTGAGAAAATTATTTATAAATACTTTATTGTTGAAATGTTATTCATTAATTTACAAGGTCAAATATTGTAATAAATCCAGATGTCTTATTATTATTATTAAAAAAAAAAATAACATGAGACCTAGGAAGGGATTTTTGCCTTTTTCCTTGTAACTATTCAAGATGAACAGAGAGATAAACATATCGGGTCTTCAAAAAAAAACCAATCAAAGATTGCTATGGTTTTTTAAACATGTCTTAGCAATATTTTTTTTTTTTTTAATTTTGTCAATGAACTTTAATGTCAAAAATCCTAACCAATAAAGAAACAGTAATGAGACGTACGTTTTTGTAAGCCAAGCAATCTTCGATAATTTTTTTTTTCAAGACCCGATATCAAACTGACTGTATATCGTTGAAATCACGTTGAAGGGGACTAATAAATAGGCGCACAATATACATGGTCTTCCATTTAAAAAAAAATATATACCTTCACTCTGCTACACTTTTTGACGGACCCTGTATGCTTTAAACTTACTTAGTTAAAAACTCTTGACAATTTTTTAAAACTTTTGTATTTGACACTTTTGTCAAAAACGTCAAATGAAAAAGTTTGGAGGGGGTGACAATTATGATAGATCACCCTGCACATATTTCTTACCTTATTACATAAAAAACCAAAGTATAAGTATTCCATTTGTATTAAATAATAGGAAAAAATGTGGCAACAAGCGCATAAATATCGGCTTTAACCAATGATAGGGAGTTTTCAGTCAGAATCTGCTTCAAAAAATATCAAATTTGCCATATTCCCGGTAGGGTCAACTGGGGTAAATGTGAAAAGGGGTAAATGAAAATACCTTGTATTTTCTGGCTAAGAGTGAATTTGACCTAAAATTGACATCATTATCCGCATTTCCCGCGTTTTGTTTAGCCAAGGGTGGTTTTTGAGGTTGAAATGGCAGTTGGTTCTGAAATGCGGCCATGTGAACATAACAGTGCAGTTTCAACTGAAAAACAGATTTGTGAAGGTTTTTTTAGAAGTGAATTGCTGACCCAAAAACGGTAACTGTGATTCGAATTTTGGTTTAGGTGATTGTTAATGTCATACTTGCTTAGTTTTAAACAAAAAACTAGAAACATTTTGCAAGTAGTAACCTACAAAATACTATTTACATTTACCCCCAAAGAATTTAGTGTTGGGGTAATTGTAAATCCTAAAATGGGGTAAATGTAAATGCAAAAATTTCGGTAATCAGGTAGGTAGTGAGTGTCTTTACCACAAAATTGCCAGGATATGCCAAGTCCTAATTCGAATGCTAACGAACCTGATCAGCTACCTGACAATTCTACACCTATTAAAGGCATACACACATCCACCACCACATTCACTTCCAACACAATAGTTAGCATATTTGCTGAGCAAAGAAATAGTTACATTAACGTGTGACATTAACCAATCAAATGTTAAAAAGGTACAGAGGCAGATTCTACCGAGACTAAAACCACAAAACAAATGTATAGCGAAATTTTAACTACCCCACAGGTTCTAGAGAAAATGTAAACTGCTCAAAAGTTAAGAGATCAAAAGAAGGGGACCAATAAAAAGCAAAAAGATAAGAATGAGAATGGGATTGAAAAGGCATATGGTAAGAAAAGAAAGGTTGTTCATGAGGAAGAAGAAATTCAAGAAGAACTGTTAGACGAATCGGCTATGTGTCTCTTCTGATGAAGATTTATTAAAGTTAGTCATTACTGGAATCAATAAGTGAAGTTGAATATCATAAACCAGTTTGGATTGAATTAAAAACAGGGTTGTTTGTATTAGTAGATTTTCAGGGTAGAAAGAAAAATAAAATCCATTATGAGTAAGTTTGTTGTATACAAAACATCGATCAAGAAGAAGGAGATGTTACGGTTCAAGGGTTTCAGGAGTTAAATTCTACATCAACAGAGTTTGTTGAGAAGCCAAATGATATAAGTTACAACATTTGAAATGATTAAACTAACCCAAACCTTCAATATCGTAACAAAAAAGTCATTTATGTTTTTCCTGGGTCAGTAGCGGTTTTCGAAAAATAATGCTGGTAGCAGATTTGTGACTGTAGTGATGTTAAGATAATGAATAGGTTGACATAGGTTAAGCCCACTGTTTAATGAGCTACTAGCTGTTATTTTTAAGTGTTTTTTTGTTAGTTTGTCCCTCTGATGCCCTTAGAAATTTACATATTTTATTTTTTCTGGGGTAAATGTAAATACCCTTCTTTTGAATTTTTTTTTTATAAAAACATAGTCATACTAAATTTGTTTTCATTTGCCCCTTAAAATTCTAGTATCATCCTAATACTCCATGAAACCTTCGTTTACATTTGCCCCTTTTAACCAGGGTAATTGTAAATGCGTGGGGTAAATGTAAATCAAAAAAATAAATAAAAAGTAATGTGCCAAATGACGGTCTGTCCTGGTAAATTAATACGTGATTCACTAACCGACACTGAATCCAAATTTCATAGATTTAGAAAATAAGAAACCTTAGATAATCACTACCAAAGTTAAAGTTGTTAAAACTGTTCACAATTACCCCAGTTGACCCTACTTGAAAGTGGCCTATTAATATAACGATATTTTTAGTTCGTATTTTGACGTATTACTTATTTGGAAAATCTCCACAAAAGTTTGGCGAAGCAAAGTTATACTTTTTTAAATGGAAAACCCCGTATATTATTGTTCCATTGGATTAGCCTTTAAAACCTGATTCCAAATATACTAGTTTTTTAGGTTTATTCCTCATAGTTCAGCCTCTGGATATCCCATTTTGGAGAAATAATATGGATTTTTTACATGAATGATTACCTCTACCTATATTTTGCTGGTCGTCTTTATACTTCACCTTTTTCAATAGAAATGCAATTATTCCACCCCTTTTTGTCCTATTTTCTCCTGGACTATTAGGAATAAACCTAAAAAACCTAGTATATTTGAAATCAGGTTTGAAAGGCCAATCCAATGGGACAATAATATACAGGGTTTTCCATTTAAAAAAGTATATCTCTGCTTCGCCACACTTTTGTGACACACCCTTTATAAACTAACATCATTGAAAACTTTCTGGTATTACCTGCAACTTTCACATTTGAGATTTCTGGATATCTCTTCAAACAGGTGAGATAGGTGTGGGTGCAAAATCTAGACAATCACCCTGTACCTTATATAGTGTGTCCAAGATAAGCATGGGATAGCAATAGCATCTGGAGAACGGTTGCAAACAAACATGTTTTGGCAAAATTCGGTCCACTATAGCTTAAAGCATGAATGGTACTAAAAGCTATGATAAATAAGTGAGCATATAGTCACACCATTTTGCGCAGTTTACCTGTGGAGTTACTTGTCTTGCTCCGAGGGAAGTTAAAAGGAGTAAAACTAATAATTTCGATTATTCAAAAATGAGTTATTGTAAAAATATTGGCATTTCTACCTTAGTCTCGAGTGTAAATGGTACTGGAAGTTATAGATAGTACCAATATACCTACACTGTTTAGGGAACTTCACTTGACTTGCAAATTACTTTGGAAGTGGTTTAAGGGGATGAAACTAATAATTATTGCGATTCATCGAAAAAAGTTTTTTTTTGAAAATATGGACATTCCACTCTAATCTCGGGCACAAACAGTACTGGAAACGGGAAATTATAGGCAGTACCAAAATACATTTTTTGGGGGAATCCCACTTGACTTGCAAATTACTTTGAGAATGGTTTAAGGGATTAAAACTAATAATTGTGATTCATCGAAAAAAAAGTTTTTGTGAAAATATGCACATTTCCACCCTAGTCTCGGGCACAAATGGCATCAGAAAGTTATAGGCAGTACCGATATACACCATTTACAATCCTAGAATGCAAAATACTCAAAAACTTTCTAGTGCATGAAAATCCCATATGTCTGTTTTTTTTTTTAATAAAGAGTTTCATTTCTTTTAGGACGCAGTCCACTCTTATTCAGGTGGATTAGATCATACCCTAAAATCATTCGACTTCAATACAACAACTGAAACTATTATTGGAACGCATACAAATGCAATCAAATGTGTAGAGTACTGCAGTGAACTCAACTGTATCTTGACAGGTAAAATACACTTCCTAAACATTGTTTTCATCTAAAAGTAAATTATTTCAGGAAGTTGGGATCAGCACGTGAAAATTTGGGATCCCAGATCTTCAGGAGCTAGTGGTAGTTATAATCAAAGCGAAAAAATATACTCGATGAACACTTGTGGCGAAAAATTGTTGGTGGCCACAGCAGGAAGAAAGGTTTTTGTGTGGGATATCAGAAATATGGCCTATGCACTTCAAAAAAGGGAAACTAGTCTTAAGTATCAAACAAGAGCCATCAGAGCTTTTCCAAACAAGCTAGGATTTGTATTAAGCAGCATAGAAGGAAGAGTCGCTGTTGAATATTTGGATACTAATCCCGATGTTCAAAAAAAGAAATACGCATTCAAATGCCATAGATTGAAAGAGGACGGTTTGGAAAAAATATTTCCAGTTAATGCTATTAGTTTTCATCCCATCCATAATACTTTTTCAACTGGTGGTTCTGATGGTTACGTGAATATCTGGGATGGTTTTAACAAAAAAAGACTTTGCCAATTTCATCAATATCACACATCTGTCACGTCGCTTAGCTTTAGTCATAATGGTAAGAATTTTACTTAAGTTTTGAAGCAACAATAAAGAGCCATTATTCGTTTCAGGTTCAGTATTGGCAATTGGCTGTTCATACTTCTTGGAAGAAGACAATCCTCCTCATCCACTACCAGAGGATGCTATTTATATCCGGTCTGTTACTGATCAAGAAAGCAAACCAAAATATACTAGTTCTTAGGATAGGTACTTTATTTTTTTTGCTATTTAAGTACTACGAATTTCACTTATAATTTTAAAATAAATGATTTTGTTTGAAACAAATTTTAAGCAAATATAAATTATGAAAACAAAAAAAAACAATATATTATGTTGGAAGATTTGGTTCTTGTTTTCTATAAGTTTAACGGCGAACTTATTCTACCTTAATCACTAGAAAATTATGTTGGATCAATTCCTAATTTATATAAAAAGTGCATAAAGTGATACTAAACGAGTGGCTCTTGTTTGTTAGGCCATAAAGGCGGGAAGTGTTGTTGTTATTTGCATTTAAATATAACAAGTAATACTTATGCAATAAACCAAGTAACAAACATATTGTTTGCCTATGGACATTGAATTTACAAGAATCTCAATAATACAATTTTTGTACACTATACAAATTTCGTTTTATATAATTTTTTTTCTGGAATGCTTTGTTTTGTAAAAGTACCTACATTATCAAAAACTTGAGAGCAATATAAAACAATAAAATATTCATAATGTTTATCTTGGTAATTTTTTGTGTTGGAGATGAATTGCAGGCGTCTGCATCGCTGCAACTTTGCACACATCCTCTCACATATCTAAAATTTAATTTCTGTATCAAACATACATAAGAATGTAATTAGTTTTACCTGTTTGAATAGTAAAAACTTCCACAATGAGACATTCTAACCAATTCAGTATCAGTAGTTAAGGTTCCACTGTCCAAAGCGCAACTTCTTACAGTTATAGTTTCTTTATTATCATCTAAAAAAGTTAATTTGTAAAATTAATGTTTCGTTTTAAAGTTAAATGTTCTTACCAAATACTCCTGTTATTTTAACACAAGAAGTTGCCGGAAATAGTCCATCTCTACCTTTTCTACCTCCCATACAGGGGGATTCATATACATCTGATGAAAAATTGTTGTGAAAAGGATCCTCGCAAGCTGGATAATCTTTATTTAATGATATGCATTTGAAGCAGTCAATTGCGTGAACTAAAAACATTTTTTTTTTTTGAAATATTCTGTTAACAGAAGTTGGTGTACTACTTACTATTTTTAAGTAAATCAAAGAAAACTATTAATAAACAATAAACTATTTGTTGTTCCTTCATTTCAATAATTCACAAATGTTTTACTGCTTGTTCCAAACATGTCCTAGAAAAATATTGATTTTCTTGTGGAAATAATCAATACGGAGAAAGTCTGTATCTTACCAGGACTATAAGGAAAGTTTTTATAAAATGCTAATGTTCCTACATAAAGATAGGTCTGCTGGACCAGAAACACACAACTGGAGGTTAAAAATTGAATTTACAACCTTGCTTATTAAAAATTTAACAAGTTGCGTAGGTCATTGAGGAAAACATGGAAAATGTGAGTTTTTGCGGCAATATTTTATTGATTTTAAAGCCTAGTAATTAAATTCTGTAATGATTATTTTCAATTTGAATGTGAACAAAACGGAAAAAGAGTTTTAATGAGATAAACTTACAAATAACTATGAGTAAATAGAAAATTGAAAAGTTACTGAAGTACTGAATGATTTATTTTTGAAAACCTTTACACGATTTTACAGGAGTTCAGAAGATGTTAGATTTTCAAAATTTTAGGGGATTCTGGAGCATTTTAGGGGTTTTTGAAAAGTTTTTAGAAATTCTAAATTCAAATGACAAATTTAAATGGAAAAACGGAAATCCCTAGACATTTTGCTGTAGGATTTCATAATACTTTTCCGAATTTCATCATATGATTCTATGGAATTCCACCATCAAATTCAATGGAATTCTTGGACAAAAATTCCTCGGAATTACACTACTTAAGAAATTTCATGAAATTCTTCGGTATTCCACTAAAATTTCAAGTTATTCCATGGGAATTCTGCGTAAATTTTTGTTAATTCCATGGAAATTCCTCAGAATTTCACTAGAAGATTTTATGGAATTCCTCGAAATTCCATTCAAATGACAAATTTGAATAGAAAAACAGGAAGTCCTAGAAATTTTACCATAAGATTTCATAATACTTTTCCGAATTTCACGATAAGATTCCATGGAATTCCATCATAAAATTCAATGGAATGCTTGTACAAAAATTCCTCGGAATTACAGTAAAAGATTTCATGAAATTTCTCGGAATTCCGCTAGAATTTTATGTAATTCGACAGAAATTACTCAGAATTTCACTAAAATTTAATTCAATTCTTCGAAATTCCGCCGAAATTTTTCGTGGTTCCATGGAAATTCTGTTTAATCCCAAGGGAATTCTTCGGATTCGATGTAATTTCACTGGAATTCCACAATAAGATTTCAAGGAATTCTATGTATGTAATTCGACGAGAATTCCTTGGAATTTTACTCGACATTTCATCTAAATTTTATGTTAGTCGACACAAAGTGAAATTATATATTACAATGTAAGATTTCATGAAATTCTTCGGAATTACATTAAAATTTCAAGTTATTCTATGGGAATTCCGCGAAAATTCAAGTCAAATCCATAGAAATTCCTTAGAATTTCACCAGAAGATTTTATGGAATTCCTGAAGATTCCATTCAAGTGATAAATTTGAATGGAAAAACGTAAATTCCTAGAAATTTTACTATACGATTTCATTATACTTTTCCGAATTTCATCATGGAATTCCACTATAAAATTTAATGAAATCCTTACACAAAAATTCCTCGGAATTACACTATGAAATTTCATGAAATTCTTCGGAATTCCACTAAAATTTCAAGTTATTCCATAGGAATTCTGCGAAATTTTTAAGCAATTCCATAGAAATTCCTTAACATTTCACCCAGAAGATTTTATGGAATTCTTAGACAAATTTTTTTCGGAATTACGGTATAGGATTTCATGAAATTCCTCGGAATTCCACTAAAATTTCAAAATTCCGTAAAAATTCCATATTTTTTTTTTCCTTTACTGAAATACTTATCCTGGAATTCCACAAAATTTTTATACAATTCTTCGGAATTTCATTGACATTTCATGTAATTTCTTAAAAATTCCTCGGAATTCACCAAAATTTTATGAGAATATTTTAAAATTTCACCTTCATAGCCGAAGATTTCTCGAAAGTCCAATGAAACTTCAAGGGATTTTTCAAAATTTAAATTATTTTCATAAGATTTTTTTGGAATTCCGCTGAAATTCTCTTTCAATAGCCAGGAATTATTAATGAAACTTCAAGTAATTTCTTGAAAATTCACCGAAATATTTTGAATTCACGTCATTACAAGGGAATTTTTCGGAATGTCACCGAAATTCTATGTTTTTAGACGGAAATTCCTCGGCATTCCACTTGTGGAATTTTCTGGAATTTTACTAAAATTCAGTAAGAACTGAAATTTCATGTTGAGAATTTCGGTGTAATTTTATATAATTGTTTAGAATTCCTCCATGTAATTCATTTAGGATTTCGTGTAATTCGATTGGAATTTCACTGAAATTTCATGTAATTCGGGAGGAATTAAAATTTAATTTGAATTCTGTGGCAAAATTTCACATGAAATTCCTTTTTCAGAATAGCATAATTATTCTATCGAAAATCCACTAAATTATGGAATTCTGAGAGACTTTAACAGATTTTTGGGGATTCCAAAGGATTTTTGGGAATTTTAAAGGAAATATTTTTCAGGAATGTTAATGATTTTATGAGATTTTGCAGGATTTTTTTGGTTTTAATGAAGTTTTGTTTAATTTTGTAGGATTTTATGCAATTTATTCAAGAGATTTTGTGGGATTTTGTTAAATTTTTAAGGATTTCAAAGATTTTTAGGGATTTTGAGCAGATAATCTTATCTGATGTCATTTTTATTTTATTTTTTGAATCGCTGGTACACGTAATTTGATTGTGTGAGTGTTTGAAACATTTTCAGCATAACCCTCTAGTAGGGGTGGGACCAACCCTTACCATTCCAAATGGAACAGGGGGTCGAGTCATACCATACCTGTTTTAAAAGTGCGTTCAATTTTCTTTCAAATGACATCAAATGAAAGAGAATTGAACGCTCTTTTAGAAGAGGTATCACTCGACCCCTTGTTCCATTTGAAATAGTAAGGGTTGGTCCCACCCCGCCTAGAGGGTTAACAGAAAACTTCCCCCTTCGAAAATCAAATTACGTGTACGAGCGATTTTCGAAAAAACAAACGTGACATCAGATGTTTCGTTTTAAATGGTACACCCTGTATACCCGTTTCCTAATAAAAAAAGAAAGGATTTTGGTCAATATATCGAAATCATGGCCAAATAGAGAAAACATTGAAAAAGTCACTCGTTTTTGCGTGAAAAACTGCTAAAAGGGGTACAATTGTTTTTTTTTACATTTCGCACGGAAATTGGCGTGTCCACCCTGTACAGGGCGAGCCAATTTCGACACTTTCAATCCATAGGCAACGTCAATTTATGGAATGTTATACAAAAAATTGAACCTCCAACTCCTGACTATTGGTCAATATCTTGAAATCGATGACAAACACCAAAAAAAAAGAGAATGCTAATTAGAGACTTCCCCGGATAAAGAGAAATTTTGAGCCTATCGGTACAATTATACATCGATACACCCTCGACGTCTTGTTAAGGGCCAAATTATGGACTGACTGGTAAACGTCTGGTTGTTACCTAGCAGGTACTTTCTGTGCTCTAGATAATAGAAAGTACCTGCTAGGTAACAACCAGATACTTACCAGTTGGTCCATAATTTGGCCCTAAATATCAAGTCTTACCATCGATATTTTTTTATCACAATTTGCCGCACGTTCCCAAGTCTCGAGTCGCCGGCAAGGTCTGCGAGTGACGTCATCACTACCAACAACTAATAGTGGTGATGTCACCCGCAGACCTCGATAGAATGCTTGCGATTTTGTGCATGTGAATTTATTTTTTCGTCGATTTTAAATGTAGAAAAGAGAAAGGGTGATTTAAACAAGATTTTAACGTTAAGGAATTCATTTTTTGACCTGGAGCGCTTACAATTCCAGGCCGTCTTTGATCATAAACAAACTAGAAATATCGTATCGCAGTATCAATATTTTTTCATATTCTTATCGATAGCTGATGCTATGAACATCGATAAAACCCTCCTATAAATTCTAGATAAACGGCATCATCGCCTCAACTACAATTCGGGCAATTGCGCTGTCGCACTCGTCAATAGAGCAGTTGTATGCTTTTTCTATAATAGAGAACTAAACGAGAATGACAAAGACAAAAATAGTTACTGTTCTAGTCAAGGATTGAGGCACAGGCATCAACAGCCTGCGCGACGCCTGACCACTCTGACGTCACAGCGAATAGGAAAGCGGTTCCCAAAAAGCTTCTCTTTTATTCGTTGATTTTGGTTGGCGCGCATTCCCTCCTTTTCAACGGTTTTTTCTGGTTCAAAGAGGGGAATCTCCATTCTCCATTCGGTCGCGGCGGGCAGCGGTACTAAGATCGTTAGAAAATCCGGCGAATAAGTTCAAAAGTGCCTCCTGGAATTGCAGAGTTTCTCTGCTAAACCGGTAAGTCCTAGAGAAATAATTTACAAGCTGGTGAAATGGTTATTTGATGTAGAATTTTCTATGCATGCACGTTTGATGGTTCGTTTAGGGCTCATTTTCCGGCCGATTTTAATTTTTTTTGGATAATCAGGTGCCACAAGGTATTTGTTACACGATTTGTATTATGTTTTAATGACTTTGTGTTAGAAAATTGGATATTTTTGCAATTTTCCAACAGGTGTTCTTACAAGTCGGCCATTTTTAAACGATTGGTGCCGTTGGCGGTAAACTTGGTTCGGTAGTGTTTAAATGTTTATATCCGATTTATTGCATTGAATTGGAACCACTGGGCATATTTTTAGCGATAGCGAAATGGAAAATTGAGAAAACGTGGAAAATATAACTGAAAAATCTGCTCTGGAACAGGTTGTTCGTGCAGTGCATGTTTGATAATGGTTTTTTTGACTTTTTGGGATTAATTTCCCGCTCGATTTACGTTTATTAATGGAATTTAGGTTTCCCGAGGTGTTGCCTTTACGATTTCAATAATATTTTAATGGTTTCCTGTTAGAAAAATGGCCAAATTTTAATTTTGGTCTCATTGTGCAGTGTGCACTCATCTTAAAAATCCGCATCAAATATTTTTGAAAGCTGGTTGAACTGGTTGCATACACAAATTTGTGTCTGCAACATTTCATATTTTTGGTAATCAAATTTTTAAACTGTTACGAAAATGCGGGCTAGGACTGTGACGTCAGAAGCCCGAAAATGTGTCTGACTGAACTAAATCTAAAACTATTTTTTTTTTCTTTTTTTTTTGCAAATTTTTTTAATTTTTTGTAAAAATTAGGTACCATGCCTCCTTCATTGTTATTTGTTGATGATTTCTTGATATACAGATTTTGAGAAGGCAACATGGAGACAAACATTTTGGTTCATTCTATTGAGTAACCAGAGTGCACCGATTATACCCATCCTTCATTTTTTTTAAAGCATAATAAAGGACGCAAATAGATTCTAAGTAACCAGGTTTGAAACGGATATCTTTGTCTGTATTCAATAATCAATACGGGCAAAGACGAGGATACAACAAAAGGTCTGTTCTCACAGAAATCATAAACCAGTCAGAGCGTTTTTGATTGGTGCAAATCGCCAACAAACGGTTTTTTGGCTATTTTCAACCAATTAAATACGCTCTGACTGGTTTGTGATTTCTGTAGAACTCCGAATAGTCCGAATGGACGATTAGACACTGACAAAGTTTTCCGTTAAATGTACTAAAAATAGTACTGACAGGCTGACTACCTAGAATTTATTTATGTCCTTTATAACGGTATAAAAAAACAAAGGACGAGTATAATTGGTGCACCGTGGTTACAGTAGAATGATTCTAACTTTTTGATTCCATGTTGCCAAATCTTTCTCAAAATCAGTATCTGGAAATTATTAATGAGAGGGCGTTTCAGTCACGTGATTTTTTGGTTAAATCATTCAATACATTCATCTATCTGTGTCCGGGAAATATCAAAATTTTAATAGGTTGCATGGTAATGGGTAACTTGATAACGTCATCTGGGGTTCTTTATGGAGATTTGCATTGTTGGTTGAAGCACCCTAGATGACGTCATAAAAGTTATCAGAGGTTGAACTCTGTAAAGCCTCTAGTACTCATAACTGCGAAATTCGCACTTTTTTGACATTGCTTCGACAATTTAACGTTTGATACACGCATAAAACGTCAAATTGTCAACGCAATGTCAAAAAAATGCGAATTTCGCAGTTATGAGTATTAGGCTTAACGGATAGAGATCATTACCCCTGCTATCTTCTGCTCTCCTATCGAAATCGATAGACAGGGGACGCCACTAGAGATAGAAATATTGATCGCTATCCGTTACAGAGTTCCAGCCCAGGCAGCCTACCTCTCTCATAATTTGTCATATTCCTGGCACCTGAGGAGTGGCATATATTTCGAAAATGATCTGGGACTTTATTCTCGAAGCAGCGGAGCAGCGTTCTCATAAGAACGAAGGTTCTGTCTTCGTCGTCCGTATTCATATTTCCATAACACTGACAATGACAGAGCAATCGTTCTCATGAGAACGCTGTTTCTAGGTTTCGAGAATAAAGTCTCCTGCTCGGAGCAGATTTCGCACATACAAAAGAAACCCCCTTGTTGCTTGCCCCTCCCCCACGACAATTACCAATTTTGACACATTGACAGCTGATTTTGATAGCTTGCCTTAATTTGTTTATCTTTTTTATTTTATAAAATAAGATTTTAGGTTAAGACTAAGAATGTTTTTTTTGCATATAAATAATTGAATTATTTGAATTCATACTATATTATCCTCATCAGAAAACTTTGATAATTGTTTGTGATAATAAGGTGCAATTTATAAACAATTAACCGGTAATTTACTGCCAAAATATAAAATGTATGCTGGCAATTACAAGGGGGGAACCCCCAAATTCGGGTCCTCAAAAACTGATTCTAGTTACAAACCAAGAAAAGAAAATATCAGGTAAAATCCAATTCTGTCTTAAACCTAATTTTCAGTAGTCTTGGTTACAATTATAATGTGCAGCAAATTATAACAAAATTTCTCTAGATTTGGAGTTAACAAAAAAGGCAGATCCACCAAAGGTAATTTGGTCATGGACGAACATATACAAGAAGCAACACCTGAACATTTACGAATTGAAATCGATAAGATATTCAATGAATTTTTGGCTGATCCAGAGAAGAGCGAATACATTTTTCCATCTGATCTTAACAACTTGCAAAGGAAATATATACATTATAGAGTACGTAGAGAGTATCTATTTATGTATATTTTGAAAGATCAATTACAATTTTGAGAAAGTTGATAGAGGGCTAGGTCCAGTACCTTGGGCTACTTTTTAAGGCTGTAAAAGTAACAAAAATTTTAATACCCGTACGTATTCGTTACTTTTGATATCAATATTTGTTACTCATTACTTCCGTTATTCTGGTATTCAGAGGATAGGAAAGATACCTACCTATGTGAAAAAGTAGAAAAGTGACTCATTCGCCATTCGCATTTGTCCCGATTATCAAATAAGTATTGCCGGGATTCGTATTTTCAATATTTCGCAATAATAAATATACCCAAACTGTCCCAAAAACTTGTTTAAAAATATTTAAAAATTAATTTATAGAATTTATATGAAAAATCTTTGGTAAATGTAAATATTCAAAAAAACAAAAAAATTCGTAGAGATGTGACTGATGCAAGTAATGAAAGGCGTCCGACAGTAATGAATCCGTATTTCAAATCCGAGACAATACTTGTTACTCGATAACGAATACATACGGTTTGTCACAGCCTTACTACTTTTTTACAAGTTGTCGTTTGATAAATGGAGTGCTCCATAAAATCTCTCATTTCGAAATGGTAAGTCCTTGTTAGTTAACAAGAACCTCAGACTGTGTCAATGTCAATATTATATTGTTTTTGTGTGGCACAATCTGAAGTTATTGTTGGCTAACAAGCACCTAACCAACGATTGATCTAGCTGCACTAACTATGACTACTAAAGACTGTTTTTTTTTTAAAGATAACATAAAAATTCTGCATAACAAAGCCTTTTAAATCAGAGTTTCTTCAGCCAGTTTTGGGACTCTGTAAAACTATTGGTTCAATGTTTTTCAGCAGAATTCTGTATTCAGGCACAAAAACTTTAGATCTTGGCTTAAATTTTTCCATAATTCTCAGAATTAATAAAATTCAATTGTTTAATTGATCATAATTTAATCATGTGATTTGTCCAATAGCAGGCAGTTTTTCTTGTATGTGTATTGAAAACTGTTAATGTACTGTAGTGTATCATTCTAACAGTGTAGACACTTGGTGCTGACACTGTCTGCTCTTCCAGGGGGTTCCATGAATAAACAACTTTGTTGCTCAGAAAGTTTCTTCTAGGCAGTTTTAAGGTTTTTTTTTTGACTTTCTTGGAGTTCCCACTGAGATAGTTTTGGTTTTGTTCAAAGATTTTTCTAATATTGCAATTATAGTTTACTGAGTAATTTCTATATTTCGATTGATTCTCCCCTATGTCTTCTCTCCTTTAAAGTTGTTAGTTTTAGTCTTGTCAATCTGTCTGTGTATGGAAGGTCTCGTAGTTCTGGTGGTATTTTTTAACTCGTCTTAGTATCTTCTTTAGAACTTCTATATCTTTGACAAGTAGAGCTTCCACACTGAGAAAGCGTATTCAAGTTTTGGTTGTATGTTACTTTTATACAATTTGCCCATCATTTCTATCGAGTGGTCTTTAAACGAATGAGAGAATTTAAAAGAATTAGCTTTTTTGGCAATCTTTAAAATGTGGTTCTTCCATTTCAGGTATGAAGTATCATGACTCCTAGGTCATTTTGTTTATTTCATATTCTTCGTTTGGATTGTTAACCGATTCTTAAGACTGTATATTTGGACTCATTCAACTTCATTCCCCAATCTGTAGACCATTCTTCAACAGTTTTTAGGTCAGCCCTTACCTGCATGTACCAGCGGATTTGTATAAAGCTTCCCATCATCTGCAAAGTTTTTGATTTTAGATTCAATGAGTCTGTTATGTATTTTGTGAGAAATATTTTTCTGGTAAATTTGGATACATGGATTCTTCTTGAATTTCTCCAGATGAATCATGCAGATTATCGTTTAAAGTTGGAGGTGAAATAGTTGGTATATTTTTTGAAGTTGAAGGTAAATCTTCACCTTGAGTTAGGGGGTTCTGCACTATCTTGACTTCCTTGTGTAAATCTTGGTTGAACAATATTAGGGGCAAATGTAACTGTTTTCTTCTTGTTTTCTTGTTTCTCTTGTAATAGTAGGTATTGTATTTTGTGTATTGTCATTATGAGTTTGTGGTTGATGTAACTGGAATTTAGGTTTTTCTGCTTGACTTGGTCCAAGTTGATTAAAATGACGTTTTATTGTGTAGCCATCATCTAATTCAATTTAATAATGAAGTTTTCCGAAACGCCCAACTATGGTGCTGAATTTCCATAATTTAGATCCTTGTTTTTCCATTCAATAATGTTGTAGTTCTGTACTTAAATAGAAATGCGTGTAATTTTTCATGTAATGTGCCACTTTTCATTGATCATACATTTTAATTTTGATTTGAAAGTTTGGCAAAATCTCCCCGCTGGTCCATTGGTAGCTGGATGTCCTGGTGCAATTAATTGTTGTTTAATTCAATTTCTTTCGCAAAATTCTTTAAAATCAATAGATTTAAATATACTAGCGTTGTCGCTTACAAGAAATTCCGGTAATCCATAACAGCTAAAAATTTCTCTCAGAAAATTAATAATACAAAATGTAGTTGGGGCTTTAGAACTCATATTAATTTCTAGCCATTTGGATTTTGCATCAACAACAATAAAAATAAAATGATTCAAAAACGGTCCTGCATAGTCTATGTGGACTCGTTGCCAATTTTTTGTTGGCTCTTCCCAATGATGAATCGGTGCTTTGCAAGGATTTTTCTTCACTTCACAACAAGTTGAACAACTTCTAACTAAATCTTCAATGTCCTTATCAATTCCTTTCCAATAACATTAATTTCTTGCTAGTGATTTCGTTTTTACCATACCAATATGAGTTCTATGTAATTCCTTCAGCATCAAATCTTGAAGTTTCTTTGGAATTATTACTCTCCGTCCTCTAAATAGCATTCCATCTTGTAGAGATATTTCTGGATTTTGTAATTTTCCATTTACTATCTCATTTTTAAGTTTGGATAGATCTTCAATAACTTGTGTTTCTGTAGCTATTGATTTTAGATTTAATAAGGGTGTTTCAATTTGTTTCAATGTACTAATGTTTTGTTTGTGTTCATCGTCAACAATATTCAACTGACTTTCATCTATTTTTAAGAGGTTTCTGGACAAATAATCTGCGATTATATGTTCGGAAGATTTTTTATATTCTATGGAGTAATCAAAACCTGACAAAAACTGAGCGTACCTCATCCTAGTCTCTTATAAAATTGGTAATTGTTTTGAAGGATTGTCATTAATGGTTTATTATCAACTATAAGTATGAATTTTCTCCCAAAGATATAATGATAAAGTTTTTTGAAACACCAATAAATTGCTGTGGCTTCGCGATCCAATTGACTATAATTTTGTTCTGCCCTAGTTAGTGATCTCGAAATAAAAGCTACTGGTCTTTCTGATCCATCAGACAATATGTGGGACAAAACTTCAGAAATGCCATAAGGACTGGCATCTGTAGCAAGTAGAACTGCTAGTTCTGGAGTGAATGGCATCAATACTCTTTCACTTGTAATTTCTGTCTTTGCTCGAATGAATGCTGACTCGCATTGGTTTGTCCAATTAAATTTAAAGTTTTTTCGAAGAAGGTTGTTAAGTGGTTGAGGCATTAGAAAAAAATTTGTCATAGTAGTATCTAACCATACCTAAAAACTGTTGTATTTCTTCAAGGTTCTTTGGTCTAGGTATATCAAGTATAGCCTTAATTTTTTCTTTCGATTTCTGAAGTCCCTTTGCAGAAATTACGTGTCCAAGATATTTTATTTCTTGTTCAAAAAATTTACATTTTTCGCGATTTAAATGTAAGTTATATTTTCTTCTTTTTAAGACTTTCAAAAGACGAATTTTACATTGTTCCATGGTTGCTCCTTGTATTAAAATGTCATCAAAATAGGCTATTGTACCTTCTAAATCGTTTGTAATTTGATCGATGATTTTATGAAACTCGTTCGGTGCTGTCTTTATTCCAAAATTCAATCTTTTAGCTTTGTATGTTCCTCTATGTGCCGATAAGGCCTGTATTTTTGCAGTTTCCTCATCAACTGTAACGTGTAGATATGCTTTGTAGACATCTACAAAAGTATTTTCCCATTAACTATTTTATTGAAAATGTCTTCTATTTTTGGTATTGGATATCTATTATTCTGGAGCTGAGGATTGATTGTCACTTTGTAATCAGCACATATCGTCAATTTTTCATTACTTTTTGGTACAATGACTAAAGGTGTCCCCCATTCAGAAAGAATAATCCATTTTTTCGATTATGCCTTCTTTTTCCAATAAATCTAATTCATGATCCACTTCTTTCTGCAATGCATGCATAAGGTATTCTTCTGGGTTTGTGAAATATTGGTTTTGCGTTCTCTTTCATAAAAAGTGTACATTTTATTTCAGGTATTTTTCCTACAGTTTCTGTGAAAACGCCTTCAAATTGTTCAAAAATCTCCTGCAAATCTGGTTTCAAAGAAATTAAATCTATTTCATGAATATTAACATTTAATTTTCTTAACCATCTTTTTCCTAAAATGGCACTACTATAATTCGGTACAATATACAATTCTCCAATAATTTTTTGTTCTTTAAATGTGATAGGAACTTGAACATTACCTAATGGTTGAAAAAGATGCCCAGTATATGATCTAAATCTCACATTAGTATCTTGTTAAGGTAAATTATGTTGTAATTTTTCAAAATCCATTTCCGATATGATAAATAAATATTCAAATTCAAATAAATTTGAATGGTTTATCTTTGATAAGCAATTCAATAATCATTTTTGGTTTGTATACCAGTAATGAAGTTTGATTGAAAATGTCGAAAACTTGGTTGATTGAGTAATTTTATGGTAGTCATCATCATGAATACTTTGAATATTTGAGGTTCTTTTTAACGTTGTTATGCAGACTTTACTTGTGTGGCCTGATTTGTTACATTTTCTACATTTTAGTTTACTAATGATACGACAATCTTTTGTTTGATGATTATTTTTTCCGCAATGTAAACAAAGCCCGGTTAAACCTAAGTATTTTTATTTTGACTATTTGTATATCTAGCCAAACTGCATCTATTGGCGTATCGTTATTTTTTTTCTCAGAACGGCTACATCTCACTTGATGTCCATCTACTTCATATTTGAGAAAAATACATGCTCCGCCTCCTGTTTGATTTGGACGATCATTTCTAAAGATACCATAACTATCTAGATTTATAATGCTCTGATCTAACCCATCCCTCGGCCATATGTTTCTGTCAAAGTAAACTGATTTGATTTAATGTGAGAGGGGCAGACATTATAGATCAGGATCAAGTTACCCTAATACTAATACCGAAAGTCAAAGGTTTTAAAGAAAAATCTACCAAATGGGTAGTCAAAATTTGCAAATTTTTCTTTAAATTAATCTGGTGAATCCCGAGTCAAAATATCCATTTTTGTACAGTAATTTGAACCAGGTATTTTAGCAAAAATTCTTTCAACATCTCTAATGAGTTTTTAAAATGGCTTTATTGAAAGGGTGCTATCAATCTTTACAGTAATGTAGTTCTAATAATTATATTCACTTACTCAAATCGCTTCAGCCCTAGCTTTGCTATTCACTTCCTTTTAAAATTCTTACGGTGTAACAATTGAAAATATTAAACTGGCCCAAGGTTACTGAACCTTTTCCTGCACACATACATAGCTAAAACATTTACAATTGTTCAGGCTCAAGTCATGAATCTGGTATCCAAATCTCACGGAAAGGAACCGAACAGACAATTACATTTGAAAAAGAAACCGAAACAATTAGCCAGTCAATCGTTTCAAGTGTCTCTCAGTGATGAAATTTACAATGAATTACAAAGTTTCGATCAAAACTATGCTAGAGTGGAAACTCAACCCCACAGCAACTACAGAGCGATTAAAAGAAGCGAAAAGGTTTATAGCAAAATACAAGACTGTGAACCTGTTGTGCCACAAAGTGGCGGAAAAGACAGGAAAATTCAAACAATCAGGCAAAAATTGCCTATTTTTGAAAAGCGAGAGTTTGTCATGAATACTATAAATAGCAATCAGGTAAGTTAAGATTCCCTACAAACTAGAAACGTTTTTATTTAAATAAATTCCAGGTAACCATTATTTCATCTGAAACTGGATCTGGTAAAACAACGCAAATACCCCAGTACATACTTGAGCATGCTGATCAAAATAATTTGCCTTGTAAAATCATTTGTACGCAACCGCGTAGAATTTCTACAATTGCTGCTGCTGAAAGGGTGGCTTATGAAAGAAGTGAAACTGTTGGAGGTTCTGTTGGCTACCATATTCGCTTAGAATCCAAACACTGTAAATTAAATAGTTTGATTTTTGAATTTTAGTTATGAGTTTTTTTTAGGTTTTAAGACCAACCTACTTTTTTGTACTGTTGGGGTCTTTTTAAGAAACCTCATGTGCGGCAGCAAATGTTTGGAAAACATAACTCACATTATAGTGGATGAAATCCACGAACGCGACAAGCAAAGTGACTTTTTGTTAATTTGCTTAAAACAGAATTTGTCCCTATATCCCCACTTAAAGGTGATTCTTATGTCAGCCACCGTAGACACAAGCAAATTTCAACAGTACTTCAACTCCAGTGCTATCTTATCAATTCCTGGCAGACTTTTCTCAATTGAAACATACTTTGTCGAAGACATTTTATCTATGACAGCATTTTTCACTCCACAAATGCGCACAGCCATGGCCAAGTTGCAACAGAAAAAACAAACTGTTCAAAATGCTCAGTTGCCTCCTGTAATGGAATTATCTCCACTAGATCAGGATAATTTGAATTTAGCTTTGGAGGCCTACATGAATTTCAGTGAAGAATATGATTACACTTTGCACTATGATGAGGCTACCGCTGATCTTTTGCAACTATTCATATCCGAAGATGTTCCTGTAGATCAGCCACATTCAGACAGAGGCTGGACTGCATTAATGCTTGCCTGCCATTTGGGAGATGTTGAATTTATTGAAAAACTTTGCACATTGGGTGCTAATATGAATGTGCCCGATAAATTGGGTAAAACCGCTTATGATTATGCTAAAATGGCTAATAAAAATAACATTTTACTATTGCTCGATACCATCAAAGATCAAGAACCACCTTCTGGAAATGCTGCACCTAACTTGAGCGGTAAGATTAGTGATTGGAATAAGAAATAAATTAATTATATAATTTTTTTTAGATCCTCTATATTTGAGGCAACTTTATGATATGACTACTCCAGATGATTTTATTGATTATGATCTTATTGTGACTCTTATCCAGTACATACATGCTCAATCTGACAAAGGATCCATTCTGGTCTTTTTACCAGGTATAAGTTTTCTTGGTTAATAAAATTTTTGTTCTGAGCCCTGTTTTCTTTTAGGTTATGATGAAATAATGCAATGCAACGACCACATAATCAACTCCTCATTGGATTCGTCTGCTTACAGGATTTTTTTCCTGCACAGCAGCATGGGTATGAGAGATCAATGTGACGTATTCAAGCCTCTAGATCAAAGAAAGTTGATATTGAGTACAAACATTGCTGAGACTAGTATCACTGTTGAGGACGTTGTTTTTGTAATAGATGCAGGAAAAGCCAAGGAAAAAGTGTATGATTCGGTGAGAAATTTTGTCTATTTGAAGACATTAATTTAAAATAAAGTCACAGTTATTAATTATTGCATTCCTTTTAGTACAACAAACTATCAGCCCTTCAAACCCAATGGATTTCGCGTGCCTGCGCCAAACAACGTCAAGGGCGTGCCGGTAGAGTGCAAAAAGGTTTTTGTTTCCGCTTGTATTCAACTCAAAGATACAATCATATGGCGGAAGAAAGAGTTCCTGAAATTCTGAGAGTTTCATTGGAAGAACTTTGCTTGCAAGCTAAAATCATTGCACCACAATCGATGAACATTTACAATTTCTTGTGTCTGGCTCTTGATCCGCCCACATTGAATTCCGTTGGAGTGGCAATTGAGAATTTACAATCTTTGGGGGCTTTGGATAAGGAAGAAGATCTTACAAGATTGGGCGAATATCTAGCCCTATTGACAGTAGAACCAAGATTAGGCAAAATGTTAATATTTGGTTGTATATTCAAATGTTTGGAACCTATGCTGACTTTGTGCGCCTCTATGGCACATAAGTGAGTTTATATAATTTTTGGAAAACCTAATATTACAATATAATTTTTAAGGGATCCTTTCCAATTGCCTTCGCAAGCTAACTTGAGATCCCAGGCAGCTGCAAAAAGGCGAGAACTTATTAATGGCGTGCCAAGTGATCATTCAGTATATTTACTAGTTTTCCAACAATGGCAAGAAAACTGTGCTACAAATACCTCAAAGCAGTTTTGTCAAGAATATTTTATTTCTGAGACAACTATGTATGGTATAGTGGAAACCAGAAGACAACTGATAGGTACTTCAATTGTCGGAAAGTGAGATATTGATGTCTATATTTTTCTCAATTTCTTGTAGGTCAACTTAGGGCATTGGGTTTTATAAAGGCCCATTCGATTAACGAGTTTAATGTCAATAGTCACTCTTGGGGCTTAGTGAAGGCCATTATGAGTGCTGCATATTTTCCTAACATAGCTTATCCGGCTCAGAGAGGATTGGCTCTAGCCACCAGGTAATTTTTCATTTTTATCTGAAATTTCTTCCAAGTATTAGAAGGAATGATAGACCTATAGGAGTTTAAACATTGCTGTTTATGTATTACAGGAACGAGAAAAAAATAATCATTCACAATACAAGCGTTTGCTCTACCAAAAAATACCTCAATTGGTACTTTTATGATGAAATGGTGAAAAATAAAATCAATTTTATGATTAGAGGTGTATCAATATGCACACCGTTAATGGTAAAGCATTTTTATAATTAAACCAATCCGCATACATTTGGTATTATTTTAGATTTCTCTGATGTGCGGAATTGACACTGTATACCCGACCTCGCACTCCATTAACATTGATGATTGGCTTGAATTTTATTTTGGAGACACTTACGCTATTAAATTCCGTAAAGCCATCCATTCTTTGGTAGATAAATGCATGATTAATCCAGGATATTCTCTTGACAAAGAGAATCTGGTAAGATTTAACTTATTATTATTTTTTTTTATGCTTTAACATGCTTTGTTTTTTTAAAGATCATAATAGACACTGTGGCAAAAGTGATGGATATGTCTGAAAAAAATGAAGGGTTTGTACAGCCTCCAAGTGTAGGTGAAAAACCGAAATTCCTTTATAATGCAACCAATGCAGCCCCAAAGAGAAATAATGGAAGACCTATTACAAGGAATGGTATGAGACAACCGACATTTAACAAGGAGCCCATCAATGGTAGTCATGATGCATTCAACAAGTAGCCATATTTATAATTTTATTTTTAGCTGAACGGATTCAAAATCGCTACATTCCTCCACATATGCGAGCTCCAGGGGAAAGTGCCTATAGGCCAAGAAACGTTTTCGATAATAATCATCCCAGTACAAGTGGTGCTAATGAATTAGCTTATGGTTTACAAAACTTTGCAAACCTTACCGTTACAGGTGAATTAGGTCTAAGCTTGAATTTTCCATGCTTATTAATATTGTGTTACTTTTCTCAGATACAGAAAGAGCTAATGTTACATACCAACCACAAGGCCGTTTCAATAAACACCACAATTATTATAACGGTTACGATAATTTCACTGTTTACAACAGTCAAAATCGTGGATATAATTTCAACCCTAATCAGGAATATCATATTGATAACTCTCGCGCGCAATTTGACAATAATTATGGCCAGTCAAGCAGTGATGGTAAGTATAGGAGAAGGAAAAAGCCGCACAAGAAATAATTTGCGATAATGGATTGTTTTAAAATATAAGACTAATATTGTGGTTTTATAAAGTTATTCAATTTCGATAGTGATTGTCTTTATATATTTAATTTACATAATGTAAGATTAATAAAGTATTTACTAAATATGTTGACTTTTTTTTCTTCTTTTTTTTTAGACTATGACTTAATTTAATTTTTTGCATGTTTTTAGATATTTAGGCTTAAATTGTTTACATAATTATAAGAAATATGGAATTCTTCTTCTTTATCATTATTATTGATAGTTTCCTTGATTGGAAATATCAGTATCCACTGGTTGGTAGTGTCTAGACGATTAATTATCGCTTCTGGAACGCTAACTTCGGTTTGCTTGCAATTTGCAAACTGAGGGGTGTGTGTCAGAGTTCAGGAGCTGTACCTCGCATGGGCTGGTTTTTCTGACTTCTTGCAACTCCTTTTTAGGGCAAACGAAGGACTCAGGGAGGACCTCCAGGCATGTTTGTGGATAGTACACAAAGTGCAAAGTATTTTTTGCTAAATATTTATTCTTCGGCAAAACTACCTCAATAAAAACTACCTAATGCATAAAAATTATGGTTTATGATTTGCGCTAGCTTTACTAAGTATCAGTATCATAACTATACTTATTTCTATCGAATGGACGTTTAATATTGTCCATGTGAATTTTTCCTTGGGTTGTTGTTGTCACTGTTTTGCGTATAGGATCTATAGTCTCAATTGGTGTAGGAGGTGTGTATTTATCACCAAGTTTTTGTCGTGTATGTTTTCGGATGTGGATTTTTTGATCTGGGGCAAATAGTGAAGGCTTGTCACGGGTTTCGTTAATTTTTCCAATTACTTTCTCTTTGGTGTTAATTAGTTGTTCATTGATTCAGGAATACAAAAGTTTAGTTTGTACGCCAAAATTGCCTATTTAATTTTTTGGGTGATTGGAGTATTTTGGAATCCTTGATTATTCAATAATCTGACATGCTCCGATAAGGTGGAATGCACTCTCTCTATTACACCGTTGGACTGTGGGTGATTTGGGGAACAAAAATGGATTTTTATTTCATGGATTTGCAATAGCTCGGTGATGACTGTGTTTTTGTGTCGATTATGACTTTGGAGGATACCATGATAAGAGAAAAATGTGATTAGATTGTCTGCGATTTCCGTTGCGTTTAATGCTGTGAGAGGATATGCTTGGGTATATTTAGAGAAGCTGTCGATGATGGTTAAGAATTTCACTTTATCTAGAGTGTAAGTATCTAGATGCACGATGTCGAATGGTTTAGTTGCAGTAGGAGTGATATTCATTTCCATATTAACAGGGTGACGCCCATATTTACTACGTTGGCATATTTCGCATTCGTTGATATAGGTTTGTATTGATTCCTTTATATTTGGCCAGTAGTATTTACTCTTAATTTGTTGTTCTGTTTCATCTATTCCTCTGTGATTCGTCTTACTTTCGTGATAATTTTTGATTATCTCCGGAATATCTTGTTTTTCTACTACATCAATTAGTTTGATTAGGCATCTTTTAAGTCTGAGAGAAGGCCATTTGAAATTTTTCCTAATTACTTCACAGAATGGTTCATACATTTCTGGATTCTCGAAGTATAGCGAATATAATTTTCCGGGCGCTACATATTCTCTCATAAAATCTAAAATGTCATTTTCGAAGTTATTTTCAGAGAGCTGGACTAAAAAACTTCTTTTTTTTTTTCAAATAATATTATTCGCTTTGTCTTTGCTGTAGAATGGAATACTTTTGTTATTATTATTTGGTTCGCGCCATATTTAACCGCTGATTCTAAAATTGGCACGCCCACTATTGGATCTTGGTCATTGTTTCTGTGAACGGTGTTGTTATCGCTTTCATCTTCTGCTCTCGTGGAAGGTCCTTGTTCTAGTTTAGGGTCTGGGTGTACTACGGTAGACATCTGGATTAGGTTTAACACCCTCAGGAGTCACTACGTGACCTAAATAGGCGACTTCGTGTCTCAAGAATTCGCATTTGTCGAGTTGAATTTTGGTGTCTCGGATTCTTTGAAGAAGAAGAAAGCTAAGACAGAGATCTTGGGTCGCTGGTAAGAGCACTTTAGCTCTGTACTTAATGCAGTCAGTACGGCTGACATGGACTTTATAAATGCACTGCCTCAAAGAGAGTTATTTATTCTGGGCCTGGATGAAACACCAAGTAAAAAAAGAAGTTGATGTTGCTATTAGTCAACTTAAGAGTGGTAAAAAAGCTGCAGGTGCGAATGGAATTCCTGAAGAAGTGTATAAACGAAGCGTTGAGAAACAAAATCCATGGTTTCATACCACACATATGGAGAACAGAGTCGGTGCCGATGGAGTTTAAAGAGTCTTCAATATGCGCGTTATACAAGGGTAAAGGCAGTGCCTCGGACTGTAACTTTTACAGTGGCATATCACTCTTGGATATAGGTAGGAAAATTTTAGCCCGAATAATCCTAAAACAGACTCTAACCTGTCTCTGAAACTATTCTGCCAGAGTGCCAATACGGGCTTAGAGCGAACAGGGGAACAACGGATTCGACATCTATAATAAAACATCTACAAGAAATGTCTCAGGAGCAGAACCAGCCGTTTGATCGCGTGCCAAGAAATGTACTCTGGATTATATTAGAAAAACTCGGCTGCACCCATAAATTTCTAAACCATGATAAACTTATTCCATGACGGCATGAAATGCAGAATTATGGTTGATGGGGAAATGAGCGATGAATTTAAGACTACTGGTGGTGTAAAGCAGGGGTGTGAGCTGGCACCGACGCTGTTTGCTTTGTTCTTTTGTATGGTAATGAGTATTGCTATGGAGGAAATGTTAGATGCCCTGCATATCAAATACCGTTTTGATGAAGGTCTGTACAATCTTCATAGACTTAGGGCTTTGTCTAATGGGTTCATGGTTTAAATGGGGCGTGTAACAAATTTGGACTTAAAATAAACAGAAGTACAGTAAGAAGAACAGTAAAACAGAAGTAATGCAGCAAATTCCGAAGAATGCACATGAACTTCCTCCTCAAATGAACATCCATATTCCATATTGACGGCATACAGTTGGAACAAGTAAGTCGTTTTAAGTGTCTGGGCACTATCATAACACCAGATGAAAGGGTAGACGCTGATGACGAATATTCGAATTGCCCTAGCATCCTTGGCCTTTGGAAAGTTGCACCGGAAACTTCTCAAATATCATGACGCAAGTTTCGAAACCAAGATAAAAGCGTACCGTGTAACGGTCTTACCAACTATTTGGATCAGAATCATGGATTCTATACAGGCGGCACATATGAAGCTTCAAATCACTATATAAGAAACACCGAAGTTCTGCGTAGAACAAAAATTGATGGCATTGAATCTTTGTTGATGAAACGGCAACTCCAATGGTGTGATACGTATGAACAATAACCGCCTTACAAAGGAGATATTTTTCTCAGAGTTAGTCCATGGCGAAAGCGCACTGTCTTTCGCCATGGACAAAAACTGCGCTATAAAGATACTCTGAAAAGAACTATGAACCAATGCCATATTTATCCAAACAATTTAGAACAAAATGCAGTGAACCGGCCAATGTGGAGACAATCAATCCATGAAAATATTGAAAATTTTGAAGATAGAACTGGATACACTCAGTAACATGGTTAATCAAAGGGAAAGAATGGTTGCTATATCTATATTTTTGATGAAAACGGACAACTTTGCTCTCCTCAGTGCCAGAGAACGTTTGTTGACAAACTGGGATACCATAGCCATCAACAATCCTGGCCTTATGAGAGAGCATTCAATATGAATATGAATCTGTAATGATCGCTGTTGCCACATCGGCAAGGAATGGATGATGATGACGAAAATACCACAAAAGAAGAAAACACAATCGAATAAGTATAGAGTCCAAAATCCAAACCCTATAAAAGAGAACTCTTTAACAAAGGAGAAAATTCAGAGATGGAGATAACGCTGAAACGGATAAAAATAGTTGATGGAAATTTCAAAAACAGATTCTTTATATGAAAACCCTTGATCTCAGATCCGGTTACCATCAAGTTAGTGTTTATGAGCCAGATCGCGATAAAACAGCTTTCACAACAACGTTTGTTATTTTTTGTTATACGAGAATGCCATTTGGACTCAAAAATGCACCGGAAACATTTCAACGGCTCATAGATGTTTGAGAATGGACTTTAACGGAACACCGATGATAGTGAAATCGTAGTGTTTACGTACCTCGATGATTTAGTCGTGTTATCGAGTTTGTTTGAAGATCATATATGATAGATCTTAAGTGAGTGTAAACTCCAAACCCTATAAAGGAGAACTCTTCAACAAAAGAGAAAATCCAGAGATGGGGAAAACGGTGAAACGAAGAAAACTAATGAAAATTTCTAACAAACATTCATCTATTCAAGTTTTATATGGACTAGGCTCTACCTATAGGTTTTATAGGAAGAACTCTAGGATATTATGATACCAAAAATTGGAAAAGCTCAGGCTCAGGTTCGGATATGTTGAGCTTACCAGTTGCATATTAAAGGAGTTATTATTATTCCAGAACAAATCGACTCAAATATTGAACAGAAAGTTTCCAGAGAAACTTCGTAGGTGAATATCAGTTATAGAGAGATATAAGGAGTGAAGTACCAGATAGTTATAAAAAGTTTCTTGTGGAGGTTTAACAGTATTCCAACATTTAATGGAATTAATTAGCTGTAGCGAATTAATAGAAATTTATTTTTCATGATCTAATGTTAATGAGAACTTCATAGATAACTTCAGTAGTTAGGAGATAATTATAAAAATAATCTTAAATGTATACAATAGAACCACAATATTATGTATTATATTTCAATAATTCAGCAAATGTTTCAAATTCATAAATATTTTAAGACTCTTCACCAGAGAGAATGGCACTGTACGAAGAAGTTGCACGAAACATAGTGATGCAGAACAATTTGAATTTGGCCGATATGGAATATAATGACAATTATTTGGCACCACCACTTCCTCAAGCCAGTCAATCATTGTATGGAAATCAATTGAATATTAGTAAGTAAAGCTGAGGAAAAATTAAATTAAAATTGGTAACACAATTCCACCATCTAACTAATGCAAAGTATCCTTAGTTTTATGTAACAATGTAGGTCCATCTAAACCTAAACTTTAAAGTATCTCAAGCTTTCTCTCAAATATTCCAGAAAACTCAGAAGTGTTATGGTCGGTTCTAGAATGCTTCTGTATTTTTAAAATGGTTCTAGAGTACTCTGTAACATTTTACAATGTTTTTAAAGATTACAATTTGCCTCAAACAAATGCAGAAGGACTGAGAGATGAATTAAAAATCTTCTGATCAAAGTTCTAAATTGCTCTAGGAGCGTCACGAATATCCACCAAAAACATCAAAAATCCAATTCTCTATCCACTATAATTCAAGTAGCCGGTTTTTTGCCAACCCTGCTTTCTTATTGTGCAGCTTTTTAAAAAGTAAAAATTTTAAGGTGCTCCATCCAACTTGTACCAGTTACCATCGCAAATATCCAACATGCCGGTACAGAATACTTACAATAATTACTTATCCAGACCCAGCAACTCACTTGCCTTAGTAAAACATAATAATCACCCATCCAGACTCAGCAACTCACTTGCCTTAGTAAAACAAAATAATCACCCATCCAGACCCAGCAACTCACTTGCCTTAGTAAAACAAAATCAAATATATACAGACAACCCCATCTATGTCTTCATCAAGGCTGTGACTAAGAGGAACGTGGATATCGCTCAAAGTTGCAAAAAATGGGTCTTTTCGCCGCAAACTGAAAAGAAAATTTTGGAGTTTGCAAATGTAAGTTGAACCATTTTTTGGAAGTTCACGCTTTAATCAAACCAAAAAATTGCAGCAAGGCAAACAAATATTTCTAATCTTCTTTGTGAAAGAATTCCAAATGCTTATGGGAGTTGCAAAATATTTATCCATGAACATCGGTGGAGGACTTTCCAAACCAACGGCGTCTATAGCTTGGATTTATTACCCTCCATTGGTTGACAGACAGGCATGGTAAGTTTTGAGTTTCTCTATAATTTACATTCCAAATATGGCGGTTATTTTAATTTTGACGTTCAGAGATTTAAGCAATATTCATTTGCTGAATTTTTGAAACTTTGATTCAAGTAATTGACAAAATACGCAGAAATATAGAGGTTGTAGCAAATGCGCCCAAGTACTCTTTAATTTAGTTAGATGGTAAATGGCAAACGGTTTTATTGATGGTGTTTATTTCCTTGGAAAGCTACTAATAAAATTGTGGAGGGGGTCTATTCGCAAATGAGAGAAACAACTGTAGTAAGGTTTGCACAATAATTATACTTTATTTTACTTGAATAATCAAAATATAATTTGGCACTACAAAGTAATAAAATTAATTTTTCCCAAAGTCTTACAGCCACCTCTATGTTTGCTATGTAGTCTCGCCACAAAAAGTATCACTTTTACTCCTAATAAAACAATATACTATTTTCAAGAAAATAACTTTTTGGAGGAGACTCAAATCTCTACCAATCTCTACTGTTCTGTACTATCTTACTATGAATCAACTGCTGATTCTACTTTTAAATATACGTGTAATTTTTAATTGCTCTTCCTCTCATTGTAATTTTTAAATAGTATTCACTCCCACCATAAATCTCCGCGTGAGTTGTAAGTTCATCGCCTCTATTTCTAGGAATCGTTATCTCCGAGTGACCCTTGCACTTGCGTGTTCTTATTTAATATTTATCGGAGTAATGTCGCAAGAATTTTGTTTCCGTTTCCGCTATTCAAAAATGCCGACAGCGCGTGTACACAATTAAACAAGTTAGCCTTGTAATTAATGTCGTTTAGTGTTTAGATTTGCGAGTTTATATACAGGGTCAGGAATCTCGTGAATTTTCCGGTTGCGTAATTATTTCATTCGGACCGCCTTCGGTAAAGATAACTGATGACTCTAAAGGGGTGACCGTATAATTGTTAGATTAGATTTTTCACCTTTTTCACTTTGAAATCCCTATAATTTATGTCCCTGTTTTTGGAACCTTCACAAAGGTGTGGTCAATTATAAATTATATTTTTTTTATAGCAAACTAGTGAATCCTTATACCAGGAAGTCGCTTTACGAAACACAAGACGGAGATATTGTGCGTAAAGACGTCGCAGAGATTCTTATGTCTATGTACGCAACATGCGAAGCAAGAAACAAGAAGTAAAATTTTGTTGTCAGATAGTTGCCTTTCTGTAACATAATCCGTCCCATGATGAAACTGAACATATTTATTACACACGCTATACTAATAAGGGAACCTGTGTTATGAGAAATTCTCGAACTAAAATGTTTCAATTTTATTTTTCTAAAATTCAAACAACCTTTTTTAAAAAACTCGTCAACAAACTTTTCTTAGTTTACTTTTCAAAAAAAAAAAAAAAAACATTTTACCATAACTTTTTTGAATGGTTTGTCAGTTGTACGTACAGCAACACATATAAGCTATACTGAACTTTTTATTTTTTTTCCTTGTACGTTTCTTCTTTCGAAAAAAATATATATATATATATCTTTGTAACACAGGCAAATTTCCCTATTTTAAATGAAGATTATTTTTATATTATATTTAAGAGGTGCAATAGGTAATGTTGCAATAATATATACCTAGGCTTTAATTTTTCAATTAAAATTATAATTGTTTAAATTTTATTATAGTTATATGTAATTATTAATAATTAATTTTAATTTTTTTAACGCATATTTTATACCACCTACCATAATTGATAGAATAGTATTTGAGTTTTCAATTTTTCTTAATTATTGATGATTTAGTGAAAGTTTTTTTTTTTTGTATTTAATCAGAGTTTTATGTATTATATTTACTCTAGTCATTTCTTCCAATAATTGGAGTACGTACATTAATAATACTAAACAATTTTCCAAAAAGCAAACGAGCATGTATGATAATATTGCTTGTTTTCAAGAATAATTATTATTATTGAATTACTCCTATTTTATTTTACTATGATCTCAGTTTTATCTTATACACCCTAGTTTTAAGGAATATTTTTTTTAAATTTTAATATTTTATATCTTTCCTAATTGATGGTGGAACTGAGGCTCTCGTTTTCACCTTTCATGAGGCGAGAATGACGAGAAACTCAAGTTCACATTTAAATGCTATCGATAATAATTGATAGCATTTAAGTTTTTAATTGTTTAGCATTTTATTTAATTGAATATCTAGTCTAGTTTTAATATATTTTTTTTTATTTTTAAATAGAATAGAATTATTTTATCTATACCTTTAATTGATAGTGGAATTGAGTCTCTTTCTGTTTGCTATTTCCACTGAGGTTTCATCAGCGTGGCTAGAAATAGCAAAAAGGAGAAGCTCAAATAAATAGTTTTAATTTTAATTACTTATTGATAGAATTTAATTTTAATTTTTCTTAATTATTACTCAATTTAATATTAAGTGATGACAATTTCTGAATAACTATTATAATATTTTATATCTACCCTTATTGATAGTGAGACTGAGTCTCTTTTTGTTATTTCCACTGAATCATTTTGGACCTCTAAGGTCTCAGCAGCGTGGCTAGAAATAGCAAAAAAGAGAAGCTCACGTTTTAGGTTTTAAATAGTTTTAATTTTAATTACTTATTGATAGAATTTAATTTTAATTTCCTACTTATTGCTAGCATATAATTTTAATTTTTCTTAATTATTATTCAATTTAATATTTAGTGTTTTGAAGTTACTGAATTGATGGTTAATAGTTTTCAAGTTTCTATAGCTAGGTACCTAATTTAATTTTCATTTTAATTGTTTAATTTTCAAATACATATGTACTTATTTATTTATAAATAAAACTTTAAAAAAACAACAAATCTATTTCTTTGGATTGCCTTATCAGAAAAATTGCATTTTACAGTGTTTTGGTGATATTGAATACCTGATAGAGCAAACTTTCTACCCGTGGTGAAAATTGAAAAAAAGTATGTAAACAAGGATTTTCATCTAAATTCAATTTTTATAAGACTGTCTCTTATCGGATTACATCTTTTGTAGGAAAAGTCACGTCCTCAGTTTACTATAATTTGATTCTTCTTCGCAGCAACTTCTAAAATAAACCTGCATAAACGTCCCTAAGATGTCTACAAACGACTTTCAAGACGTCTTAAACACGTCGTATGTTATAAAACCCAACGTCTTTTAGACGTCTGCCTAAAAGCCACTTCAGGCAGGACTAATATTTCATTATTATTACTCATTTTATAACTTTCAATTTTTGTCTATTCCATGCTAAAGCCTTTGAAAATGCTGCTGAGAATAGTTTTGATACCTTCTAATTGGCTTATTGAAGTTATAAAGTATTCTCACTTGGCTTGAGGAGTTCTGGAGCATTCTAGAAGTTTTTCAGTAATTTCTAAATTGTTCTGACTGATTTATGTAAGTATTTTAGAGCTCTATGAAGCTCTAAAGTGTTCTAAACTGGTTCAATAGTTCTGAAAGGTTCCAAGTTCTAAATTGAATCGTAATTGTTCTAAAATAATTCTGAAGTTACTAAATTATTGTTCCAAAATGCTCCTGAAAATTCTGATTTGGATTTTTGTGTTTTCGGTGCTTATAAAAGAACTAAAGTTCTAGAACAATCTAAATTCGCTCTTAAAAACCTTCTGGAATGCGTTTTATAACTTTTAACCTGAATCCCAAGATTCTCGCGATTTTCGAAATGTTTCTGGAGATTCTTGACTGTTTTGGAGCGATCTAAAATGGGTTTGAATTTTCTGAATTGTTCTAAAATGCTTATGGAGATTGTAAATCCATTTTTGAATGCTTTGGAGCATTCTAAAATGGTTTTGAAGAATCAAAAATGTGTAACAAAACGGACTAAAAATCCTTTTTTTTTGCTTCGTAATACAATTAATTGGCTTTTTTTCCAGTTACATTAAAATCGCCAAATTTCTGACGAAGCCGTACCAAGAGCCAAGGGTTATCAGTCGTTTTCCGAAAGAGTGTGATTACTGTGTCTTAAAACACTACTCTTGACTCCTTTTTCCTTGAAAAAAAAAAATTGCAAGTTGTGCGACCGATGAGACTCCCAAAAGCGTCATCAAGCTGCCAATATAAATATGCCTGTGAGCCTCCTAGATTCATCCAGTTCTGTAACGAAGTGCGGGTATTTAGTGTTGACGTCTTTCTGCTGACTCTCTTTCCGAGACCTTAGGTAATGTTTCAGTATTTTAATTTATTCATTCTGTCTATTATTTATTTTCTCCCCTGTGTAAAAAACAGAACCGTTGGGTTAGCTTCACAACTCAAATCTCTTTTCCAACATGTATCTCACCCTGAATGACAAAGCCGTTTTGTCATTCCCTTGTCGAGGATGCCCGTGACTTTTTACCCACTAAGAGGTTTAACCTAGTCTTTATTTTCTGTATCTTTTAATCCTTAATTTCTCATGTAACTTGTACCATCAAGGAACGCCTTATACAGGAGGCTCATTAATTTCACTCCCTATCATTCCAAAAGCTCTGTATGTAATTTCTTTCATTTCATTTCAGTATAACTTCTTAATAACTTACTGTATATTCTTTGTGTTTCTTTCCCTTCCTTACCAAGTTTCACCAGTTGTTCAATAAACCATTGTTAGTAAGAAAAACTGAATCTTCTATTTCCTTTGGAAAACCCTGAGCTAGCATTCCAACTAACTGCGTACAGCTCAGGTAGGAAGAACCCGCACTGGTAGAGGCGATCTTATCAGATTACTAAAAAGTATTCGTTCAAAGTTACCTAGATTTTCAGTGGGACTTTAAACAAAGTCCCTAGTGGCACGCTACCGCAGTACCAAAAAGGCATTTACCAGAACTAAAACGAAGTCTCCCTTACCCAACCGTCACAATCAGGTGGCTGTGGTAACAAATGTTCTAAATCGCTACAGATTGCTTTTGGAAATTCTGAATTTAATTTTAAGTGTTTTGAACTTTCCAACGGCTCAATAAAGTTCTAGAGTGTTCTGTAGCATTTCAAATGGTTTCCGCATGTTAACGAGTCGCCACTGTCTTTCTTGAAGGAGGGATTACGATGGTTACATCGGTGATGACTCGACACAAAATAGTTTGGGGAGCAGACAGGCGGAGCTTCGAAGGATGCCGAACGTTATTCCGCCTGTGGCTAAATTCAACAAAATGTTGCACCGATCCTAATGCCCCTAATGGGTTCGTTTAGGATCGGCTGAAATGCCCTCTGTTGACAAATAAATCATTATGGGTTGGGTAAGGTAACGTTTTACGCAGTTTATAACCATTATTACTTCGATTTCTACGATTTCTTTTACAATATGCACGACGCATGGTTTTTGGAGCAAATGGACTCGGGTTTAGTTCTTGTTGAAGGCAATAGATTTTTTTTTCTTAGGGTTTTTATTTTTTTACTTAAGATTATTAAGAGGACGGGTTAGTTTCGATTTGCTCTGTTTCATTTAAAATACATACAAGGACTAACACTCATTACGAATTACGGAGCTCTGTTTGTCTGCTCCCCAGACTCGTGTACTCGACTCTACTCGACAGAGAGAAATCAGGTGATGTTAGAGGGTGCTGACGTGTTCGTCGAAACTGTTGGATTCTTGTTCTTTTTGGAAAATAGTTCGAATAATTATTATTGTTAAATGTCAGTAGTTAATGGTAATAAAGGATTATGATTAATAGAGCAGCGGCGTGTTTGTTCGTACGTGCTCCAAGACTTCCAAGCCAAGGTGGCTGAGGCTGATAGGTAAAAATCGCGGGTAAATACCAATATAAACATTATCAGCAACTGTTATTAGTTGGTTGAGCAAAGTGCAAACCTGCTATTTTTATCACGATGGATTCCGATTCTAGTCAAAACTCAAACAATGACTATAAACGAAACCAAAATCGCAACCGTGACGAAAGCACAAAAAAATCAAGAATCTAAGGTAAATAAAGATCAAGTTTTAGCAAGATTAGTTAACTGTTTTGAAGAAATAAATTTCCCAGCATAAAGGTTATGCTGAGCGAAATACCTAGTCGAAAGTCGATCACTTTTTACTGCAAGTAATATTTCCTACGATGAGAAATTAACTTCAGAGCAGGTAACAGATTATTAAGTTGTTAAACAAGTTTCAAGACTGTTTTGCACAATGCACTAAGGATCTTGACAAAACTGATGTTTTAAAAATGATCATAAACCTCTCGGATGACAAACGAGTTGTATACAGACCTTACAGACTTTCTCATAGCGAAAGAAAAGTTGTGAGGGACATAGTAACCGATCTCATGGAAAATGACATAATCTAAGAGTCAGATACGCAAGCCCCATTCTTTTAGTAAAGAAAAAAAATGGAAAATATAGGATGGTAGATGGAGTTTAAACTCGTAAACTGTTAAAAATAGATTTATTCTGCCCTGTGTTGATTACTTTTTGGAAAAGCTCAAGGACTGCTGTTACTTTACTAACCTCGATTTAGCAAGTGGTTACCACCAAATCGAGATGCATCCAGACTCGATTTCTAATACAGCATTTGTGACTCCGGATGGACATTTCTGATACGTTCAGATGCCATTTGGTTTAGCTTATGGACCAGCAGTATTCCAAAGCACGATCAACAAGGTGCTGGGTAACATGAAGTATGGAAAAGCGTTGGTATATATGGATGATGTCCTTCTTCCTAGTAAGTAAGGAGTTTGAAAATTCTTAGACCCCTCCAACTACAGAAAGCTGAAGCGCAATCCCACTGCTTCTACATTGCGAAAAACCAACTTATCCGAGCGCGGTAGTTGGACCCGGAAGACGTAAGGAAATTCATGATGTTCAACAAGCGCTAACTCAAATTCAAATAAAATTGCTCTCCAATTATCTGGGTTTACCAAGAAATATACTGCAAGCAGCAGGAGCTCTAGCAAGAAGAACTTGGGACATAATGGTGGTATTGTAAAGGGTACTAGTGGGGCTGGTCTTGGTGGTCTGAGGGCAGCAGAGCAGAGGAATGTAAGTAGTTTTATGTTGGTAATTTAATGTCATAGACTGAGGTGGAACAAATTAAAAAAACATCTGCATAATGAGGGTGTAGCTGTGTATACATGTGAAAAGCTGGACTCCAGTGTAATATGCATACAGTATCTTTCAAACTATCTGTGCCCCCAGATGCAGAAAAAATTGTATTAAATGCAGATGCTGTTGTTAAGCCATTTGTATTTAAACAGGGCCCTGGTAGACGACAGAGGTCTAATAATTTTTTCCAATGAAGGTACCGAAGGAAAAACACAATGTAGGCGCAATCAGTTTCTATTATCAAAATGTGAGGGGCATTAGGACCAAAATCTAGCAGGTTCAGTGTTCCATTGACACCCAGCCTTATGATATTGTACTACTAACTGAAACATTTTTAAGTGAAGACATAGGAAGCAATGAACTTGGATTTGTGGAATTGGGCTACCAGGTGTTTAGATTTGACCGATCATCCAAAACAAGTGTAGTGACTACAGAAATTTCAATCAAGAATAACAAAGACTTACCAAACAACCATCCCAGGAGAGACCATCACTCAGACAGTACAACCAGAAACTTCAATTAAAATTTATCTGAACATCGATAACAAGAAATTATTGAAAGCCGATACCTTTCCTCTCAAGAATGACTATCCAATAGGAATTGAACAAAATAATTGACGTACATTGGGATGTGAATAAAGCAAAAGTTCATGGACCTTTTTTTAAGTGCTTTCAGCAATTAACATTCCAATGGGACTGAATTCCTAGAAGGATCAATAAATCACGCACGAGCCTATAGGATGATACCAACTTAACAAACCACTTAGCGACGCCCTTGATAATTAATTAAAAGGGGACCAAATACACTAATTGATCGGACGATTCAACCACGAAAAATCGAGGTCAAAAAAAACAAAGAAATTCAAGACAATGGAGGTACCAATGATGAAAAAAGGCAACTTTGGCAGGAGAAAATCAGTGTTCGGGAAAGAGCGAGTAAACCGGCAGAACTACGACGTGAAGGACCAGTGTCGGTTGAGTAATAGAAACAACAAGTAGTAATCGAGGAACGAGAGACTTGTGTCCAGAAAGTCAGAACTACGGCGTGAAAGAGTTGTCGAATTAACCGAGAAAAGAAGCACGACGTGAAATAACAGCGCGAAAATATTCGAGTTTTATTAAATGTTCATAAGTAAACTAAAATCCTTCGACCAATAAGAATTCCATGTAATTAGGTGTAGCCAGCAGTAAATATATTATTGTTGAATGTAAGTAGAGTTTTTTTTATGTTCAGCCAGAAATTGTGAAGGCAAGAGTGTCAAACTGTAAATTAAAATTTAGTACTCACTTTAAACTGTGTCTCCACTCAGAAACTAAAGTCACCGCTCACAAATTTAACATTTTGTCAAATTTCTGAATTTGGGGTCTCACAAGCTCAGTTTTCTTCAAGATGTGAATTTACGACATCTTATGGATGTCTTCTAGACGACTTTTTTTGTCTTCAGAGGTTCAGACGCAATGCAAACCTAAAAATGACTTTGTCTGCTGTCTGGGTAGTTCAGCTTCATCTTTCATTCACATTTTATTAGGTACATAATTACCTCATTATATCCTGAAATATCCTAATCCAAAATAAATATAATTAAAACACTTTTTATTATAAAAATCATTTATTTACCTCTCATTAACTATTTCTGGATCGTCAAAACGCTATATTGGGCTCAAAATATAGCGCTTTAACAAAACCTCTTTATTTTCGCCTAACCTATTACGCTTAATATTGACACATCTCTTTTTACCCTATTGTTATTTGACTAATTTTTACATTTTATTTGAGTATTTTAAACAACTTTTACACGTATTTTTCTCTAGTATACTATTTCGGTACAAATGATTTCCTTTTTAGATCCTACGTATAAACAGTTACAAATGCTTATTATCTGTTTTTTGCGCTTATGATCTATGGGTGATTGAAGGGCCAAAGCTGGAATTTTTGAAGAAATACAAATCACCCCTTCTATTAATATCATGGCAACAAAAATACAGGGCGTTCATTAACATTTTTAAACACCCAGTATTTCCAAGCGGCTACACATACATAATATACATTATTTTAAGATAGGTACTATAATTCGGAAGTATGGCCTAAAAGTATTTATTGTCTTTTATATTCAACAATGAGATGCCTTGCAAAGGGATTTATGTTATATGTAGATATTGCAAATGATATGTATAGGTACATATTTTTAAAACTCCCATCACTAGCATAATATGGAATTATATTTTTGACATCCAGAGTAGGTATTGTATTTTCTAGAAGCAACAAAATTTGGACTGCTATTCCCGCTTGTTTTTTCAATTTTGCAAGACATTCTTTGTATTTTCAAATTTACACCTATATAATATAAGGATGCTGGATAGAAAAGTTCGAAAAATGAGAAATTTCAACTAGCTTAGTTAGTACGACCATTGCTTATAATATAGATCTATGGAAATGTCTATGGTTTAGTGAGTTACCAACCCCTTTAGATATCTGCCCAAGAAACGACAAAGCGAATTTTGTGTGTGGAAAATCAAATTACAATTTCCTTGAAACAGTGATGAGATTGCCAACGAAGAAAAATGAGTCGGAAGCTTTTGTAGATAAATGATATTATATTAGAAATACTGCATCGTAGAAAAATATTCCAGTACAAATGATTGGAAATTGATATTTGTGACCAAAAACAGTAATCCCAAATTTTGGATTTTGATGTGTTTTATTCTGATATGCTTATGGTCCAACAAAAGTAGGTATACACTTTGTTTTCCAGCGAGTATTTACAATAGTTTTCTGTCCCAGCAACAGTCTAGAATTACAAAAAATTACGTCAAATGTAAATCGCCTTTCAAAATCCTAGTAAAAGTTTTCTTAAACTGTTGATTGGCCAAAGCATAGCAAAACGGATTCAACGGGCTGTTGGTGTAACACAAAAAATACGAAAACATATAAATATGAGGATTTATGCAGGGCGGTTCAGTGCAAAAACCTTCGACAAGAGCGAAAATGTGATACGGAGTCCAACAGATTACGAAAGCTCCCAGAATGAACGATATTGTACGTAGAGCTTTCCTGGCTCTGTTTTCGCTTTTGGATTTTTGCCTAGCGCCGAAACCCAGAGGCCCGGATAAGTTTTTCTTTTTCACCTTGAGTTTCTTGCCTAACGACTTGACAAACACCCTCCTAGATCCTCGATCGTTTGTCGTCGGGTCCGTATCTGTTTTGGAAGAGAATTTTTTATTTACAATGGTAGTAGCTGTCATTATTGTAGCCGCATTACCTGTCTGAGATATAGCTGAAATTCCTTCGCACGGCGAACTAGCGCAACTGTCTCTAAAAGAACCTTTTGTACTTCCGTCTCTGAAGGAACTTTTTTGCGAGTCTCCTCCGTTAGATTTTTTGTTTACTAACGATGTAATGGGCCTGTTTGAGCTTAGTGTTACTTCTGTTTGAATTCTAACTGAATTGGTGTGACTTTCGACATTCTGAAAGTTTTTATTGGTTTGAGTGATATTGCTACTACCATTGATAGGGGCACTATTTTTACTTTGGAAGGAAATATTACTATAAATATCATTATTGGGGCTATATTGGCCATTGGTTACATTACTTAAACTAGGGACTTTTTCCAATACTGGGGAAGGTATTACTACGCTACTTTCATCCATATAGCTTAAATCTGATGTATCTAAACCGATTAAAAGGTCATACGTGCTATAAACTTTCTTGTTACTTGGGGGTTTATTACAAGGTTCTACGCCAATTTCTATGGAACTGTACGATGTAGTGAGTTGCGGGAGCTTGCTGGGTCTTACCAAATGATGAGGCGATGGTTTACGTGGTTCCTGTTTTTGAGCATCTTCTGTAGGTTTCAATATAGGAGCTAGCTTTGGTATTAGTATTTCTAATTCGGCTGGTTTTTTCGGAGTTTCTTTCTTATTTGAATGTTTGCCGTTGAGTTTTGGAGAGGAGTTACCAAAGATTTGCATGTTGCTAGTTTGAAGGACTTTCGAAACAATTATTAATTACTTTTTAAATTATTTGAGTTTAAAGTGTCTTACCTATGTCCACGATGCTTTTTCTGTGGCTTTTGAATTTATCTTCTTTTTGCAATTTTCCTGTTATTGGTAAACTCAGTCGTGTTTCTTCTTTTTGGTTGTTTACTATCGTGCTGTCTTCGTCGCTGTCGAATGCTGGACTGGAGCTTCTTTCCGATTTTTCTTCTTGCAAACAACCCTATAGAAATAATTATTAAAAGGAAAGTTGTTCTTACTAGTCAGCTACATAGGAAATGACTGTAAGTTCTCACACAAGTAGTAGTAAAATAGAATCAGTGAAAATTTACAGTTCTTTATGGATTACTGCCCGATACGAGAGAGCTGTTCTCATGTCTCGTCTCGTTTTCTCTCGTCTCTCATGAGTATTGACGTATAGTAAGTTAAGAGTTAGAGAGCTCGAGAACTCAAGAAATTCTCGACGAGAGAAAGCATTTTCTCGTGTCGTTTCGAAGTAATTTTTAGGGCCGGTTTCTCAATAGCAAGTCACCCCCGGGTTAAGCATAACTCCAGGATAAACATTGCAACTGGACACGACTCTAAGGACTCGAAACTTCATAATAAAAAGCATGAAAATTAAGTCAGAGTTGAAGACACACTTTGAGCAATCAAGACTCATGATACCAAATCAAAATTCTTAATCCAAGAGTCAATATAATGACACACGAAAGAGACAATATTTCCTATTTTAAAATCCCAAATTCTCAAACTCAATAGTGAAAACTCTGAGTTATATTCTAAGAGAATCTAAGGACTCGAAATTTCATACCAAAAACCATGAAAATTAAGTCAGAGTTGAAGATACTCTTGCAAGACTTTGAGCAATCAAGATTTTGAGTCAAAATTCTAGATCCAAGAGTCAATATAATAACAAACAAAAGAGAAAATATTTCCTATTTCTCAAACACAGTAGTAGAAACTCTAAGTCATGTTCTTAGATTCTAAGGACTCGAAACTTCATACTTAAAAGCATGAAGAATAAGTCAGAACCACTCTTGCAAGACTTTGAGCAATCAAGACTCATGATTCTGAGTCAAAATTCTTGATCGAAGAGTCAATATAATGACACACGAAAGAGATAAGATTTCCTATTTTAAAATCCCAAATTCCCAAACTCAATAGTGAAAACTCTGAGTCAGATTCTTGTTTACCCTGGAATTAAAACTAACCCGGAGATGACTGGCTATTGAAAAACCTACCCTTAAAGAAAGAATCGGTCTAACGTCTCAGCGGCATCGCTACTTACTCCTAGGCAGAGCTGTCAATATTTGAAGTAAAAACCTGAACTGCTCGGTAACCGTTAACCAAATTACATTGAAATTTTCAGCATTTATAGCTCTTATCAAGCTCTAAAAGGTCTGTAATTTTCAATATTCCCAGGATTATAGTTTTTGAGAAACTTCAGTTTGAAGTTTTTGACAAAATTTAGACTAAAAGTCAACTTTGAGGCTCAAGTTCTCAAAAACTATTCGAGCTATCAAACTCAGTTTTGCACGAATTTATAGAGAGTTCAATGCTCTTTCGAATGATATATAATTTATTTCAATTTCTTTAAAATTTAATAGAGATATGGGCAATTGCTCATGACCATGTCAAGATTTTGAAAATGTTCCAGAGCCAAAAATAAGATTTCCTTCTCAATTTTTTTTTTCAGCTTAAAATGGCCATGTGGAAATGATGTCAGGGATGATTTTCACTTATTTTGACCAACTTTCTCGATCGGTAAAGTCAAAATTGAGGAAAACTAAAAAATAAAAAAATCTAGTTTTTCATAGGGGAACCCCTTCGGATTCTGATTTTAAAATATTCAAACCTCAACTGCTCTGGAACCGTTGAGCAAATTGCATTGAAATTTTTAGCATTTGTAGCTTTCAATAAGCTCTAAAAACCCTGTCATTAGGATTATTCTCCGGTTCATAGTTTTTGAGCAAATTGAGTTTGAAGTTTTTGGCAAAATTTGGACTAAAAATCAATTTTGATGCCCAATTACTCAAAAACTATTGGATCTATCAACCTCAATATTGCACGGATTTATAGAGAATTTATTGCTCTTTCCAATGATATATAATTTATTTCAACTTCCTCAAAATTTAACAAAAATATGGGCAATTGCTCATGACCATGTCAAGATTTTGAACATTTTTCAGAGCCAAAAATAGGATTTCCTTTTTAATTGTTTTTTAGCTTAAAATGGCCATGTGGAAATGATGTCAGGGTTGTTTTTTACTAATTTTGACCCACTCTATCGATTGGTGAAGTCGAAATTGAGCAAAACTTAAAAAAAAAAAAACGATTTTTTTCATAAGGGTACCCTTTGAATTCTGAATTCAAAATATTCCAATCTCAATTGCTCTGTAACCGTTAAGCAAATTGCATTGAAATTTTCAGCATTGGTAGCTCTTATGAAGCTCTAAAAGACTTGTAATTTACAATATTCCCAGGTTTATAGTTTTTGAGAAAATTGAATTTTTTACAAAATTTAGACCAAAAGTTAAATTTGAGGCTCAATTACTCAAAGACTTTCTGAGCTTTTGAACTCAATTCTACATGGATTTATAGAGAATTTAATGCTTTTTCCAATGGTATATAATTTATTCCAATTTGCTCAAAATTTAACAAAGATATGGGCAATTGCTCATGACCATGTCAAGATTTTGAAAATCTCCCAGAGCCAAAAATAGGATTTCCTTTTAATTTTTTTTTTCAGCTTAAAATGGCCATTTGGAAATGATGTCAGGGTTGTTTTCCACTAATTTTGACCAACTATCGATTGGTAAAGTCCAAATATTGAACAAAACTGAAAAATAAAAAAATCGAGTTTTTCATAAGGGTACCCCCTTTGAATTCTGATTTCAAAATATTCAAACCTCTTTGCTTCGGAACCATTAGGCAAATTGCATTGAAATTTTCATCATTTGTAGTTTTTATCAAACTCTGAAAGACTTGTAATTTACAATATTCCCAAGTTTATAGTTTTTGAGTACTTAAATTAAGTTTGAAGTTTTTGGCAAAATTCGGACTAAAAGTCAATTTTGAGACTCAATTGCTCAAAAACTATTTGAGCAATCAAACTCAATTTATAGAGAATTTAATGCTTTTTCCAATGATATATAATTTATTATAGTTTGCTCAAAATTCAACAAAGATATGGGCGATTTTCTTTCCCTTGTCAATCAAAACACTCGGAACTCTAAAAACCAGTTCAGAAATGATCTGAAACCAATGAACTATAGTGTTTAATGGATTCTAGAACATTAATTGTGCACCGTATGTGTATAATAATAAACCAGTTCATGATTTTTTCTAGTTCAGAACAGCAATCCGACTACTCGAAACTCTGAGAATCAGTTCAGAACTAATTCTAAATGAACTGCGAACAATTCAATATGATCGGAACAACGCAACAACAATGGATTTGTTCAGAATCAATTCTGAATTGAATTTCCCAATATATAAGCTCGGTATGAACAAATGCGCAAAACTGATTTTGAACTAACTCCAAACAAACCTATTCCAAATTAGAATCAGTTCAGAGTCGATCTAGAACCATTTCTAAATGAATTGCGAATGAAAAAGAGTAAATTTGATGTGTTCCAAGGCACTCATATTGAGATATTTTAATCGTGAATTAATTCGAAACAGGTTTTTAGAACACAAAGAACTGATTTTAGTTGAACTCTAAAATAAAGTTTTAGAACCGGTTCTAATTGAATTACGAACAAAAAATAGAGTAACTTTAGTGTGTTCTAGGGCACTAACTTAGGATTTTTTTTTATTTTGATATAGTTCAGAACTTCATTTGACTGTAAACGAGTTCGGACTTCCTAAATAGAATTCTATTTATCGTCGCAGGGTGCGTGCATTACTGGCTTTTTGGGATATTGTAGGTTATGTTTGCGGATTTTCCAGAGAAGATTTCATTCCAATCGACTATTTTTATTAGAATTCTATTAATTGTCGTCTCTAAAACACTAATTCTGAATCTAGTGTAGGTTCTTTTATGTTCCAAATAAATCAAGCATTGTTTACAGTTACTCCATTCGGTCTGAGATTCTCGTTTTAGTGCACTAAATTTGACTCTGTTTTGAATTCTGATTGATAAACCTCAATTGTTCTGTAACCGTTGAGCAAATTGGGTTGAAATTTTTAGCATTTGTAGCTCTTATTCAGCTCTGAAAAACCTGTAATCTACAATATTCCCAGGATTAAAGTTTTTGAGAAAGTTCAGTTTGAAGTTTTTGATAAAGTTTAGACTAAAAGTCAAATTTGAGGCTCAATTACTCAAAAACTTTCCGAACTATTAAACTCAATTTTGCATGGATTTATAGAAAATCTAATGCTCTTTCCAATGGTATATAATTTATTTCAATTTGCTCAAAATTTATTAGAGGTATGGGCAATTGTTCATAACCATGTCAAGATTTTGAAAATTTTCCAGTCAGAAATAGGATTTTTTTAATTTCAGTTTCTGCTTGAAATGGCCATTTGAAATGATGTCAGGGTTGTTTTCCGCTAATTTTGACCCACTGATTGGTGAAGTCAAAATTGAGCAAAACTGAAAAATTAAAAAATCGAGTTTTTCATTCTGATTTCAAAATATTCAAACCTAAATTGCTCTGTCACCGTTGAGCGAATTGCATTGAAATTTTTAGCATTTGTAGCTCCCAATAAGCTCTAAAAACCCTGTAATTAAGATTATTCTCAGGTTTATAGTTTTTGAGCTAATTGAGTTTGAAGTTTTTGGCAAAATCTGGACTAAAAATCAATTTTGAGGCTCAATTACTCAAAAACAATTGGAGCTATTAAACTCAATTTCACACAGATTCATAGAGAATTTATTTCTCTTTCCAACGATATATAATTTATTCAAATTTGCTCAAAATTTAATAAAGATATGGGCGATTGCTCATGACCATGTCAAGATTTTGAAAATTTTTCAGAGCCAAAAATAAAATTTCCTTTTAATTTTTGTTTCTGCTTAAAATGGCAATTCGAAAATGATGACAGGATTATTTTCCACTAATTTTGGCCCGCTCTATCGATTGGTAAAGTCAAAATTGAGCAAAAGTGAAAAATAAAAAATCGAGTTTTTTATAAGGGATACCCCTTTGAATTTTAATTCCAAAATCTTCAAACCACAATTGCTCGGTAACCATTGGGCAAATTGCATTGAAATTTTCAGCATTTGTAGCTCTTAATCAGCTCTAAAAACCCTGTAATTTATATTATTTCCAGGCTTATAGTTTTTGAGCAAATTGAGTTTGAAGTTTTTGACAAAATTCGGACTAAAAGTCAACTTTGAGGCTCGATTGCTCAAAAACTATTTGAGCTATAAAACTCAATTTTACACAGATTTATAGAGAATTTATTGCTCTATCCAATGACATATAATTTATTTAAATTTACTCAAATATACTCAAATACCTGTACCCATTTTGGAATCATGCCCTGCTTGATTTTTAGAATAACATAAAGCTCGGATAAAATACCAGAATAGAATGATGATCGGATTATATTGTAGATAACTAAAAAAATTACTAAGACTTGTCTTGTTTTCAATAGATTTTAGATATTTGAAGTACCAAAATTGCTTCATGTAATTTATTTAAAGTATTTTACATACCTACTTCAAGTACTAAAACATACTCCATCTTCAAGTAATGCCACTTTACTTCAAGCTCAATGTTTTTACTTGAAGTAAATTACTTGATGAAATTCAAGTATAATTTTTAAAAACTTGTACTTGTACTTCAAGTACTCTCGTAATGTACTTATGCTTGCTCTGCTCCTAGGTAGGTACTTGGAAAGTACCTTATTATTCAATTTTTTTCATAGTGGAATATAATAGGATACTTATTTCTTTAAATTTTTATAAACATACCTAATAACTGTTATCGAGAGAATGAGTAACTTCAAATTGCGTTAAACACTTACCTTATTGGTCGGTAAGTTGACACTTTTCTCCATAGTTGCAACAGTTGTAGTTGTCGTAGTAGTCGTAGAACTATTTTTGTTCGAGCTCGTAGTCTTTTGACTCGAATTCGAATCTCCTGAACCTCCAGCGGCATAACTTTCTCTAACTTTCAAGCCTTCTGCAGACGTAAGTGGTTTTTTACCTTAAAAACAACATTTTTGTAACAAAAAAATAATAATATTTATTATTATGTATACCTTGTTCTAAAAAATTATTGTCATTTGAATCTTGTGTAGGTTCTTTTACTTTTTTACTATCGGTGAAGTTGTCACTGTTAGCTTGGATTTCTAAAGACGATTTACTAGGCACACCGATTCCTGCAGCTCTTCCTGCCATACCTGACATGGCTCCGGCACTTAAAGCTACCATTGACTGCATTTTTCTTTGTTTGGCTTCACTTTTCTTTTGCATATCGAATGCGGTTTTGTAAATTCCTAGAAAATATTACTCAAAAAAACCTGTTGTTTTTGAAACATCCTAGGATTTTACCTCCATATAATATAAAAAGTACTATTAGTGTTGACCAAAAGTAGGTTATAATTAATGCAGTATTGAAAACAGGCTCTTTCAAAAACTGGACCGCGCATTCTCCCGGTAAAAGATCTCTGTATCCGATGAAATGTTCCCAGCCAAATATGCTGATAAAAAAGAGCAGGGCTGGGATAATCCAGGTTATCACTACCATCAGGATAACTCGTTGTTTTGTTCTCCAACTACAAAAAAAGTTGTTTAGTAATTTGTAATTTGCCCTTGTTTCAAAGTAGGTACCTCCGGTATTTTGCAGCAATTTTCACAGAACAAAATCTATCTATTGTAATGAGCAAAACTGTATATTGCGATACTAAGCATACAGTATAATCCACCGAAAGCCATAGATCGCATAGTAAAGGACCTAAATCCCAATATCCCATTAGTACGTAGACAGCAAAGAATGGCATAGATACGGTTCCTGAAAAATTAAGATTTGAGCTTTTCATTGACATAATTTTGTTAGACTTTTGATGTATGGACACCTATTTCGCAAGAGCTTATTTGAGCCTGAAATATCACAAGGAGCCACTTTATACGGGCTATTTTGAAGTGACTGATGGTAATTTTTAGAAAAAAAATAGATCTCGAGATGCGGATTTTGGTTAATCTATAGTTAACTTGGCTTTCTTTAGTTGGGAAATATACGTTTTATGTCTTGATTCTGCAGTTAAAAGAACAAATTCTTTACTTACCGATAAGCATATCAGTAGCAGCCAGCGAAGCGATAAAATAATTACTCGGTTGCCTTATGTTCCTATCGACAATGAAAGCCAAAAGGACCAGTATATTGCCGGCCACAGTTAGGATTATGCATATACCTAAACTTATCGCTATCAATATGGTCTGCCAGAGCTCAAAGGGAGCTAGAACTGGAGCTATTGAGGGCTCTGTCGAGAAGGAGGAGTTGTTTTCGGAATCTGGAAAGGAACAAAACGTCTACAAAAAACTCTTGAATTTACATCTTTTCATTTAAATCCATGTATTATATTGTCACGGCTCTTGAGTTTGTTTATTCCAAAATCAAAGTCCAATTAACACAACAATAATTTATTCCACGTTACTATACACTCTGACAATAATTAACTTAATTCTTTACAACTTTTACAATAATCACTATCTTAAACGTTTTACAGCCAATCTTAAACTTAAAAACCACTAATACGGGCCTTTATATATCTGTAATCCATTCTTGTATAATCCAGAATAAACGTGATAATCTCTTTGCCCGAATAAAGCAGTATTTTCTAGATTTTAGGTTAGATTGCTCGGACAAGGGCTTCGCTACTTCGTCTGAACTTAGACATTCTCAAGTTTTCCTGGATCTTGGAATCTCTGAGACCATCAATGAACGCAGATACTGATATCCATTCCTGCTTGTCTTCCCCAGCTGCAGGAAACGCCAAACTCACTAGCCTCTTAACTTCCGATTCGAATTCTTGTAAACTCTCGCCGGGTTTTTGAATTTGAATAAGTGTCCGAAATAGTGTCTACGTGACTCTGCAATCGGATTTCACTTTGTATTAAAGTATTGTAGTCAGGGCCTCAGCCACAAGTAACAATTGATAGACAGCTGCCCTTGTCGGCGAACTGTCAAGCTGTATTGTTTATTCCGTTGTTGTTGTCAAAATAGTGCGAATAGTGCTTCCATCAGGGTATTGTTTCATTGGCCCAAACAGGAAATATCCTTACCGGTTATGTGCCCAGCCAAAGTGATTATAGTTTAGGCACGGCAGGGACAACTTTAGTGAATGGAAGTTTGCAATGAGAGCACTTCTTGAATTGGACGACCTATGGCAGGTGGTACAGGGAGGAGAGACAGACGATAAGAAAGACGGAAAAGCTCTTTACAAAATCATTTTGTTGGTGGACAAGTTGAACTACTCACCTGAAGACAGCCAAAACATCCAAGGAAGCTAGGGATAATCTAGAGAAGGCATTTGAGGACTTACAAGAAGAGTCGGTCTTCTGAGAAAGTTAGTAACAACCAGGTTAGAGGATTTTGTATCAGTGGAAGCCTATTGTGACACAATAATCTCAACCTCACACAAGCTAAATGAGTTGTTTAAAGTAGAAGACGAATACGTAGGCACTCTCTTGTTAGCAGGACTGCCAGACGAATACCGGCCTATTGTAGTGCAACAAAGTAAAATGCTTACTGTTTAGTTATAGTAACCTAGTTAATTAAATCGTCAATATATAGAAACGCTTTTTCAGGGGTAAGTCCCGCAAACGCAATACTCATAATCCTTTGGAAACTGTTGGGGCTGATCTTTAATCCGAAAGGTAATCTTGTAAAGCGGTAAGATGCTGTGTTGGTGCTAAATGATGTTATATCTCTTGAGCTTTTTTGGAGAGGAATTTGGTGGAATCCCGCTTTTAAGTCCAATGTAGAGAACTATTTTGCTCTACTTAACTGATTCAAAATTTGATCGATTCTGGGGAATTTATCTGCACACAGTTTCCTATTTAATGTATGGCGAATATTAACGACAAGTCGCCATTTTTTCTCACCAGTAACTGATTTTTTCGGCACAAGTAAAATAGGACTATTGTATTCTGATTGCTGTAGCTCTATTATTTTTTCCCTAAGCGTTTTTTCGACCTGCGTATTAATTTCGTCTACTTGTGCATAAGGCGTTTTGTAATTTTTTATGTAGACTGGCGTTCTATCGGTTAAACGTAATTTTTACTGATAAAAATTTTTGTTGTAAGTGGATCGTCCTCTAACGAAAAAATGTCTCATATCTGGTTTGACGAAATCTGGTATTGAAATTGTATTTAATTCTTTTAAAAGCATATCATTTCTATTTGGTTCACTATTTTTCTTACTGCCATCTACGCAAAAAATGTAGTTTTCTAGATTAGAATATTTAATTTTTGGATTTCTTATGGTTACACTTTCAAAATTTGTATTGAGAATTTTTAAATGAGGATTTTAGTTAGATATTGTAGTTCCGGCTACGAAAACTCCTGGTGCGAGTTCATCATTTAAAATAACGGAATCTTGCTCAATGTTTTGTAATGAATTTAGTTTTCTTATCGAATTGATACAGTGGTGGAACAGTTACAACGTCATCTTCTGGATTATTATAAATTGGTAAAGTAATATCGCCCTCCGAAGTTCTTAGGGTCATATTCCAATGATAATAATCTAGTTGACAACGAAACTTGGAGATAAAATCTCTTCCGAGGATTCCATCTGCAAGAGTTGGGAAATTTTTGTCTACGATATGAAATATATGGCTGAATACATAGTTTTCGACAAAAATATTAGCGTTCGTAGTACCTAAGGAGTTCGTGTAACCTTCTCTAACGCCCTTAATTCTGCAAACGTTGAATCTGTTAATTATTTGGCGTGGGTCTATTTTGCTTCTTTTAAATAATAATACGTCGACTCCTGTATCAACTAGCAGAGTAACGGCTTGTTCTCCTGTCATATCTGTTTGAATTGTTACAAAATTTGAAAGTGTTAGGTCCATGTTAAAACTTTTTAGGAGTGCCCCAAAGAACCTTGTTGAGGCTCCCGTTGATTTTCCTGATTTGGCGTCATAGGCTCTTACGTGCCTTTGTGGCCTGAATGGTCTACCTCTATGCGAAAAACCTCTATTTTGTCGATTAGACTGCCGATCATAGTAATTAGCGTTACTTTCGCCCCGGGTATCATTATTTCTATGTGTATAGGAAGAGTTTCCTCCACGATATTCAAAGTTTCTCCTTCCGCGGTAATTATTTCTTGGTCTATACCCCTATTTTGTCCTCTTTCTGTGTATAAAACTGTTGCGCTTGCTGAATTTTCTGCGCTAACATTAACAGCAGGATCGCCATGTAATTTTTTTTTTTTTTTTTTTTTTTTTACGGATATGCGGACCCGCAAGGAAATGTCCTATCGAGCTCGAGAAGCGGCAAGTGCGCGGAAATGTCGGTGTATGTTTGTCTTGAAACGGTTCAGGTTGTAACCTGCAGGGAAAACCGTCGCAGGGAGTTTATTCCACAGCGATGCTGTTCTCCAGAGATATGAATTCTGATATAATGAGGTTCTTGGTGCCTCTAGTTTGACAGTAAATTCATGGTTACCGTCTGTTTGACGGGTTCGCCTGGTAGGTGCTACTCTCGGTGGAATCATACGTGCCAACTCTTCAGAGCATTTTCCGTGATAGTACCTGTAGAAGAGAGATAAATCGCCCACAGATCTGCGATGTTCGAGACCATCCAAGTTACGAGTAAGTGCGGGGTCATTGATCAGCTTGATAGCTCGTTTTTGCACGGTATTCAAAAGCATTAAGGTATGTTTGGGTGCTGCACTCCATATATGTGAACAGTACTCCATAGTTGGTCGAATCTGGGCTTTGTAGAGTGTCAGCAATTGGCTTGGTGTGTACAGATGTCTTGTACGAAATAGCACCCCCAGCTTTTGGGAGGCCCTTTTAGCAATATCTGCCACGTGACTGTGCCAAGACATGTTGGTCTCTGCAGTAACCCCCAAGATGTTCAACTGACTCTGTAATGTGACCGCACTTCCAGATAGCATGATGTTTGGCTCACCGGTGCTGGTCTTTTTTGAAAACAGAGCTGCTTGGGTTTTCTGCGCGTTGAACTGTACAAGGTTTTTGTTACCCCAGTCCTCTATTATCTCCAGGTCGTTATTTATCTGCGATATTTGAGTTAGTCTAAGATGATGGAATTCACGTGCGGAAAGACCTGTGGGTGGTATGAGTGAGGAGACTACATTGCCATCGTCTGCAAAGCAATAAAGTGGATTTACTGTTTTATCTATGAGGTCATTTATGTAAATCAGGAAAAGAGTTGGCGAAAGGATTGCTCCCTGTGGCACACCAGCATTTATTTGGTAAGAGTTGGAGTTCTGGCCATCCAGTGCAACATAAATGGATCTGTCCTTTAGGTAACTTTCAAACCAAGTGCAAAGTTTTGGCGATAATCCCATTGCTTTGAGCTTGTTGAGCAGATTTTCATGCCAAACTTTGTCGAATGCTTTAGATATATCTAAGGCAATTGTTCTTGTTTCACCCCGCAACTCAATCGCTTTTTGCCATAAGTGAGTGACGTATGTAAGTAAATCGCCAGTTGACCTATATTTTCGAAATCCGTATTGCTTATCGTTGATAATTTTGTACTTTTCCAAGTACTTGGTTAGGTGATTGTTCACAACTCTTTCCATTACTTTTGATATCACCGGAAGTAGAGCAATTGGTCTATAGTTTAACGGATCTGTCTTTTTTCCTTTCTTTGGAATGGGTTGTACTGCGGCAGACTTCCATGATGATGGATATACTCCTTGCCTGTAAGATAAATTGAATAATTTTGCGAAAGTTGGGGTGAGTTCGTTGGCGCAATTTTTGAGTACTATTGCGGGAATGCCATCCGGACCCATTGCTTTGTTTGTATCCAGCTTTTTTAGGGATTTTCGTATTTCTCTGTGACAAAAGGGTACCTCTGGCATACTATGGGAAACCCTTTCAATGAACGGTGGAGTTTTTCCGTTTGGCACTGTTAGGTTGGAGTTGGAGGAAAACATTTGGGCAAGCATATTGGCTTTTTCCTCTGATGTTGTGGCTAAGTGATTATTTTTATCTGTAAGTGGTGGTATGGATGACTTGGTGAAGTTAGATCCAACAGCTTTTGCAAGAGACCAAAAAGACCTAGAACTACTTGGACAATTCAGCAACCTGTTTTTTATTCTTTGATTGTATGTTTCTTTAGCGGAGTCAATAGTAATTTTGCAACTATTTCTGGCTTCTATAAATTCTGTGTGGTTTTGAGCGATTTGTTGTCGTTTCCAAAGGTTATATGCTCTGTGTTTTTTCTGTACAGCCGTTTGACACTGGCTGTTGAACCAAGGTTTTGCATTAGCTAATGCCAGGTGTATTACGAAATTAGTGAAACGATCATGTCGATGGTAACTATTGATAATAATTAATAATCATGTTGGTGTAACAAATATGTTTATACATTACGTAGGTAATTAACTAGGTTACTATAACTTAACAGTAAGCATTTTACTTTGTTGCACTACACTATGATGATGGGTTTGGAAAGCAATGAGGCTCAGATAACTGGTGATTCTGTGAAGATTAAGTTATTACGGGATGTAGTAAGTACTAGTGAACCAAAGTCTGCAAATAGCAATGCAGCTATGTTTTCAAAAAACGGTTTTAACAGAAACCTTAAGAAAAATGAGATAAAGTGCTACAATTGTGGTAAAATTGGCCACTATAAAGCACAATGCAGAGGAGCTAAACCGATAACAATAATAATAAGAACACAGCCTTTCTGGCCTGCTTATCTTCAGAGAAAGTACAGCAGGACGCATGGTACTTAGACTTTTGTGCTTCAGTGCACTTAACCAAAAATAAACAGGGACAATGTATCTAGTGAAGCTAGAAACATAAAGACAGCTAACTATTCCGAACAGTATAGTGTTACAAGGAACAGCCAACATTAGTGTAGTGATTCATGGAGGAAACAAAATTATACCTGCAAAAGAGGTTATGTATGCTCCTGATGCAGCAGTAAATTTACTTTCTATAAGTAAAATTGTGCAAAAAGGTCACAAGGTAATTTTAGCAGGTATGGAGCTCAGTTATAGATGTGTCAAACAAAATTGTAGCCACTGGTTCGGTAAACGGCATTTATCAGCTTAAGACTACTTTGAGTGGAGATACAGTTGGACGAGCAGTTAATGAAACACCAGTATACTCGAGTGTAAAAGAATCTAGCGATTTATGGCATAGACGGTTAGGACACCTGAATAGAAAGAATATGAAGCTATTGTCAAATATGTGTAGTGGTTTGAACATAAACTCGATAACCACTGAATCGTGTGCTTCCTGTGTAGAGGGAAAGCAATGTAGACAGCCATTCAAGTGTAGTTCTAGACAGTCAAATAGGATTTTGGAGTTAGTACATAGTGGTCCCATGAAGACAGCATCATTTGGAGGTAGTAAGTACTTTTTCACTTTGATAGACGACTATTCTAGATTCATATGTGCATATTTTCTGTCAGAAAAGAGCCAAGTTGTTGAGGTATTTAAAGAATTTAAGCGGCTAGTAGAAAATCAAACTGATTGTGAATTCAAAATATTAAGAACTGACAACGGGACAGAATATGTAAATAATAAATTGAGAAATGTATGTACTTAAACAAGCAGGTATAGTTCATCAGGCCACAGTCAGGTACACTCCACAACAAAATGGGGTGAGTGAGCGAGCAAATAGGACAATTGTTGAAAAAGCTCGCAGTATGCTATCAGATGCATTGTCTAAGGAATATTGGGCAGAGGCAGTAAATACTGCCATTTATATCATTAATAGATCTCCAACCAAAGCAGTGAAAAATGAAGCATGGTTCAAGAAAAAGCCAGACTTATCACATTTGAAAATATTTGGTTGTGAGGCGATGGCTCATATACTAGATGCATTAAGGAAGAAGTGGGACCCGGAATCTGAGAAATTACTTTTTATGGGCTATGGCGAAAATACGAAAGGTTTTAGGCTGATAGACCCAAAAACAAAGAAAATAACACACAGCAGAGATGTGGTTGCCTTTGAAAACAATAATAAAAATGAGGCAATAATCAGGGAAACAAAACCCAAAAAAAAAAAAAAAAGATTATGGTCTAGTAATATGGCCAATACAAGATGAAGAAGAAAATCGAGAAGGTTTTCATGAAAATAACTCGAAGAGTGAAGACAATTCTGAGCAGAGTTATGGAACTTCTAAAAACAATTCTGTACAAACCGAGAATAGTGAATCTGATGATTTACATGATGAAGAGATACAAGATTTTCAAGAACCAACAATTACATGAGACGCTCAAGAATCTCTTCAAAATACAATAGCTAATGAATTAAACTTGGACTGCATGTGAGCTTCCAGAGAACAAGAGGACCATTGATACCAGATGGGTATTTAGAAGAAGATGGTTCAAAGAAGGCACGGCTAGTAGCTAAGGGATTCCAGATTAAGGAAGGAGAATTATTTTGGCACTATATATGCTCCAGTTGCAAGGTTGTCGACCATTAGAGCGTTTCTTGTAAATGGACTAATATAGGGTTGGAATATATGTCAGCTAGAAATTCCAACAGCTTTCCTAAATGACTATGTCGAGTCTGATGTTTATATCAAAGTACCTGAAGGGCTTAATGTTGACAGATCCAAAGTGTTAAAATTAAACAGAATACTGTACGGTCTTAAGGAGAGCCCGAGATGTTGGACTAACAAATTCAATCAAATCATGACAGATTTAGATTTTAGAAGATCTTAATATGATTTTTGTCTGTATTTAAAAGCAGATGTTTGGCTCTTAGTGTTCGTGGATGACTTGATTGTAACTGGAAACAAGGACAAGGTACAAAGTGTTATTAGTATCCTCAAGGAAAAACTGAATCCTGAAGGATCCCGCACAAAACTTATGGAAAAGTGGTTCCGGTCAAATTCAATAAAATTTTAGTACCTATGATATAATTCATAACCTCCTGATCAAATTTCATCATTGCCACAAAAAAATCGTTCGAGCCGTTTTCGAGTTATAGCCTTTTCAAGGTAACAGGTTGCGGATCAAGGTAAAATTATAGACTATGGATTTTCATATTAAAGCTATATTTCTTATTGGGAGCTTGATAACTCCGTAACGAAGATGGGTAATTGGGGCAAAGTGGCGCATTTTTGTGGCAATGATGAAATTTAATCAGGAGGTCATGAACTATATCATACTAAAATTTTATTGGATTTGACCGGAACCACTTTTCCATAAGTTTTTTACGGGATCTTTTCTGGGTGAAGTTAAAAAGTTCATAGGGATGGAAATAAATAGAACATCCCAAAAAGTGACGATAACACAGAAAAGCTACACACAGAAGAATCTCAAATAATTTAACATCGCTGATTGTAAAGGTGTTACAACTCCAATGGTCACTGTGGAAAAATCTGATGAGATTTTAAGTGCTCCTTACAGAAAACTGATTGGATCATTGATGTACCTGGCATGCACTTCAAGACCAGATATCATGTATGCGGTTTCGTATCTTAGCAGATATATGGACAGCCCGAATCAAGCTTTATGGAGTGTTACACTATCTCAAAAACACCATTGAAACAGGACTGCTGTATAGCAAAAATGAGCCGGATTTAGTGGCATATTTGGATGCAGACTGGGCTGGTGATAAAGTTGACAGGAAGAGCACAAATGGTTCCGTTGTTCTTCATGCTGGTAATCCAGTTTGAATAATTGTCCCAGTGTTCACTATAGTAGTTTCACAAAGTAGAATGCAGGTCTACTTTTTGGCGCCAGTTTGCCATTGTTGACAGTTTTTCAACAAAAAATACAAACGTTTTCACTAGCCGTTTTCACTTCTATCAGAATATTGTTTTATTGGCCCAAACAGGAAATACCTTTACACTTTGCAGTCCTCGAGTTATATCTCACTTCTGACACAAATGTCGCGGCTCTGGGGTGCGTGGCAGAAATCTTGGGTTCGCTTAGGTATTCCAGAATCAAAGTCCAATTAACACAACAATAATTTATTCCACGTTGCCATACACTCTGACACTGATTACTTTACTAATTAACTTAAACAACTTAACTCTTTACAATAAACTATCTCAAAACGTCAGTCAATCTTAAACTTAAAACTGCTAATACCGGCCTTTATATATCTGTAATCCATTCTTGTATAATCCAGAATAAACGCGATAATCTCTTTGCCCGAATAAAGCAGTCTTTCCTAGATTTCAAATTAGATTCTGTACTGTTTGGCGAAGGCGCCACCGGGACAATATTCTGACGAAAACACACAATTAAAATTTGCACATTTTCAGCCAAACTTGATTTTATCCGTCTTGAGGTTTGCGCTCTGATTGCAAAAGACAAAGATGATTTTTAGCAAGTGGCAAGCAGTTACTCGACAATTTTATTATCTCAAATAAGTAGATTCAAAAAATAAAATACCTACTAACTATCACGAAGTTCTAAATGATATTTTGAAACAGGATTTCCATTCCAAATTCAACTAATTTGAAAAGGAGATAAGGTAAAAGAGTCGCCCCAAAGTCATAAGCTTCGGAGTTTATTGTAAGCTTTTTTAAAACGATATATATGTGCCGGCCTCGGTGCTGTGATACAGAAAAGGTTACGATTTTTGGCACGTGTTACCCTTGGCCTTTTTAATCCAACAATAGAATAACATAAGATAAATTTACTTACGATTGTTTATTAGCCAGTCTGTTTCACTTCCAAATATGTTCAATGCTTCGGTATCAAAAGATGTAAAATTGAAAGTTTCTGTACATTTTGTAATCGACAAGATGCCTTGGTAAACAGTCTTGCAGATTTTTTCCTTTTGCTTCTGGATCTTCCTGGAAATGAAACATTAGTTGAAATAAAATAAACCAGAAGAGAAAATTCCTTTTCAATCCTGAACTGTCGGCAAATTGAATCCAATTGAAATCCCTAATTGCATTGGCAAAAGCGCACAATTTTCCAGGAAAACGATTACATTTCCAGAACGTTTTTATCCCAGACAGCGCGGGAATTACCGCTAAGTGCTTTGTATTGTTTCCATTAGTGGCTAAACTGTCGTACAAGTGGACATCACATAAGAACAATTAACTGTTAGTATTTTGGAATTTTTGTTTCGCAAAAGAAATTAGAAAATTTCCTACGTCTTTTGAGTTAATAAAACTCAATAAAGATTTGCCAATATTCACATTCAAAGCAAATCATTTCAGAGAGAAACGCAAAAGTTCAAACCTACGGATTGATCTAGGAAATGAGTTTTTGAATTTTTGTTAATAATTTTCAAATATATTCAGAAATTTATAATGCAAACATATCGTCACATATCTATTTGAAAAGAATACATATGTAGTGCAAAATTTGTATGCTTTTTTTTTGTAGTAGGTAGTATATATCTCTGTTTAAAACAAACTGAAACTTCAAAGACAAAAATAGAGCCGAATGAAAAACACAACATAAAAGCAATTTTTTCATGCATGATGGCCTTTTTATTGCGAGATTTGTAGATCATTTCAAAGCGTTCACGTGAAATATTAATCAGGCTCAATTTGGGGTAAACAACAGAGCAATTTATAAAATAATCATCTTTGTTCAATTATTAAAATAGAGAATAATTAAACCTGCAGCTAATAAAAAATAAAGGGCCGATCGGAATCCAATTAAATGCAAAGCGCATCGCACCTGAGGTGAAAGAAAAATAATTAGAAAAAGGGTCGGTAATTAAAAATCTGCAATCAGTGCTTCAATACAAAAGACTGGAAATTAGAGCTAATAAACTTTATATTCACAGTAGTGCACGTTAACATGCTCGGACGTTTATTTACCGCCCTCAGACTGATTGGATTCAACAAAAAATGGTAGAGCTTTAAAACTAGATGGGGATTTGTCAATGTTGATGCAATCTTTATGATTACTGTTAATAATGTTTACTAGTTTATCTCATTTTATACTTTCATTATACAGCTCCTCGGACATGCCTGCGTCTAACTTGGGAACTGTTTGCACGAACTGGTAATTACTTGATGAGGCGTCAGCCGTTAATTGAGTTTCTGTGTCATGTTGACTCAACTTCAAATGAAAATTGCTGTGTCCGATATTTTGTTATCATATGTGCAGAAGATACACAACAGTTAATCGAAAACTTTACATAGCAATTTTCTTCTTTTGGCAGATATTTTAGATGTTGGATCAAAGCCAATAGGATCAGAACAGTATTAAAACAAATAGGAAAGATTATGAGCTCCTCTAAATAGGGACATAATATTAATATGTGGAAACCATATGAGCTGTAAAGAAATCCAATCTAATAGCTCACTTTGCCCCAAAATCAATTTATTAAAAATATCTATGATAGCAAAAAAATATCACTGTTAAGATGAAGATTCCCTAGTTTATCCTAGTACCTAACTATTCACAGTTCTATCCTGATAATGAATTTTCCAATAAACAAATTATGGTTCTTAAGTGATTCTACTTATAAACCAACGTATTTTACATTAACAAGTTTCACAAAAGACAAATTTAGGTTACTTGTTATAGTTTAAGTGTACTTTCTATTTAAGTGGCTCCGCTAATAAACTATATCGTGGCAAGAATAGAATGGATCTGATACATTAATATTTTACAGCAATATAGATGGTTTATAAGTAAATTACAATATGATATCGGAAAAAATATAATGTTTCATTAGGCCGTAATTCTTGTCAAGCTAACAGCACTTCACCTTAATATTGTTTACTTGCCAGAATTGTTAAGATTAACCCTCCCATGATTAATGGTTGCGAAGAGGGTAAGACCTGTGTCTCGACAATAAATATTGATATAATATCTGGAAAGGAACTGATAATATTGCTCTAAAGGGATTTTGCATATCTTAAAATTTATTACAGATCTTCGGTAAATGTTTTATGAGATCGTAAATTTTGCAGTTCAAAACTCCTTGGAATATATTATTCAGCTTTGGGTTGATAGCAGAATATAATTGCTGCATGTTCATTTTGTGCGTAAAATATCTATACATTTATTAGGCTATAACTTTGTTGTTCAGTGACATTAAAGGACCCCACACACCTCTTATGGGTTTTCTGCCTAACTCAATGAAATTTTGATATGTGGTATAACTTACTTTCTTGATAAAAAGTTCACATAGGCCCAACCCGATACAATGAATAGTTTTCGAGATACAGGTAGTTTAATGTCCAAAGCACATTTTATATGCATTTACATCTACCTGTCACCCGAGCGTGAGGATACGTATCCATCCAAAAGCTTCAATCTGGGAACCCACTAGATATAAGGAGAAGCACAATAGATCTAATAAAGATCGCAGTGCTACCTCCCGATAGACACACCGATGCCGGAGCTTACAATAGCTCTGGCAAATCTGGTGGAGTACTGTCGGAGATATGCACGGCAACTCATCATTGGAAGGGATACAAACGCCCACCACAATGTTTGGGGAAGCGAAGACAACAATACTCAAGGCGACAATTTAGTGGAATTTCTCATGTCTACAAATCTAGAAGTCTTCAACAAAGGCAGCGAACCGACATTTGTTACGAGCCGCTGCCAAACGATAATAGATATTACCATGGCAAGTTGGGAACTAACACAATATATAAAGGGTTCGAAGGTGTCAGACGAAGACATCTTATACGACCATAGACTGATAACCTTCAAACTGGAGGCAAAGAAAATGGAGGAACGTAGAAATCGAAACTCACGTTGCACCGACAAACACCTTTTCAGGGAGCAGTTGGAAGTGCAACTGGACGAAAATCTGCCCCTCACACAATATCAGACATGCCCAGATATAGAAAAAGGTGTACTCAATCTAACTGAGGCCTATGAGGCGTCATGTCCGCTGAAAACAATACGCTCAAGTAGAACAACTCCTTGGTGGAGTTTAAGATTTGAGCGACTCAAGAGAGAAAACAAAAGGCTTTTCAATAGAGCGAAAAATACCAAAAGGGCGACTGACTCGGATGCGTATAAAGCACATTGAGGGCAGTATAAAGGGGAAATTCGCAGATCACAGAGAGACACTTGGAGACATTTCTGCAGTGATATACAAAACACTATACAGCTGCAGCCCGGCTGAAGAAGGTGCTCTCCAAAGACTCTCAACCGCTAGGTCTGCTGAAAAAAGAGGATGGTACGTATACCAACACTTCAGCTGAAACGACCAAAGTTCTTACAAAGCACATGTTCCCCGATTGTGAGATCTTAGAAAACCCTCACCTGGAATAACCATAAGACTGTCACTCCTACGGAGGTTGATTGGCTGATGGCCCAGGAAGTAGTTAGTAAGTCAAAAGTCGAGGAAGCAATCAATATCTTCTCTCCATATAAAACACCAGGACTGGACGGGATATATCCGGCGCCCCTACAGTGGGGTCTGGATATTATCTTAGACCAACTAGTGCTTATTTTCAGAGCGTGTTTTGCTCTGGCATACATACCTGAGAAATGGAGAGAGGTAAAGGTAATCTTTATACCCAAGCCAGGCAAAACTGATTATGCTAAGGCCAATTCATACCGCCCAATCAGTCTCACATCCTTTTTATTAAAGGCTCTTGATAGACTGTGCGAACGAAACTTAAGGGAAGGACCCCTTGCACGCAACCCCCTTCACCAAAACCAACATTCATATATACCAGGGAAATCCATGGAGACTGCTTTCCACGCAGTCGTGTGCAGGATTGAACAGTCTCTGGATTAGAAAGTGTCCACCCTGGCAGCATTTATTGATGTCCACTCTACCAGCAACTTTTGAACAACATCACTACAATCTCCACCCCCATAACTACAATACCCGAACTTAAGCGGCAAGTAACACTAATCACACACAACATTACGCAAGTCAGAGATCAGCTAGCTCCAAAAATCACCCCCAAATCAAGAACGGACATCATCCCAGACTCCGTTGTTGAGCTCATCAAGGAGAGGAATAGGGTCAAGCGTGCATGGCAAAGGCGCCCAAACTTACTGGACAAACAATTACTTAACCTACTCAGCCGGGAGATAGAGAAGGGCATACGTCATCACAGGAACACGTCCTGGATGAGGTATTTCTCCTCCCTGGAGACCCAAGACAACTCCCTGTGGAAGTTGGCCAAAAATCTTCGAAGATCAGGCACGACACAGTCGGACCTGGTAGTCGATGGCGAGGGACGGAGTGCCCCAGGGCACCGTCCTCTCCCCCACCCTGTTTAACTTGTATATCGCCGACATACCCAAAACAAATGACACTAAAGTCATGATGTATGCCGACGATACTGCAATATACACCAGTGCCTTTCTAGCAGAAGACGCGAGAAGGGCGCTGGAATGACACATCGACCTCATAACTCCCTCCCTACAGACCTGGAAAATCACCCTCAACACCCCCAAAACAGAACTCCTTACGCTTACTAGGAAGCGCACAAACATCATCATGAACCCCCCTCTGACGATTAACAACGTCATAATCGAACCCAAAACCACTGCCAAGTACCTGGGAATAGTCCTTGATAAGACCCTCAAGGGCCACCCCCAGGTAGCACACAACCTCAGAAAAGCACATATCGCCGAGCGTTTTCTGTCTCCCATCATGAAGAACAATTCTTTTCTAAGCCCAAAAAACAAAATCAGCGTCTACAAGACAATAATACGTCCACTTTACTCTACGGAGCACCTGCTTGGAGTTACATATCCAACATCAACAAGAAAAAGCTCCAAGTATTCCAAAATAAAATTCTCAAGAACGCCCTTTCACTGCCAATGGACGCCCGAACGGCCGAAGTGCATCGACTTGCTGGTATAAACACCATCCACGAATACTTCAATGAAGTCTCACTCA